ATATAATTCTGTAAGACAAAATTTTTACCAGAAAATTGTGGACGTCTGGTAGGTCGCAGAAAAGTGGGAGATGTCTTAAATTAAAGGTCTTGACCCCAGGGACTCGGGGAAAATAGCAGAATTCCCATAAAGATACCATAAAACGAGATATAACGTAAAATGTTCTTCATAAGAAAAGCATTAGAAGCCAATTACTGCAGATTTTTGTTTACTTCAATACAGCTGATCGTGATTTATCATCAAGCCAGTATAAGCAACAATAACATTAATTTGGATTACTTATTTGCCAGTCAATTCTGCAACGTACTATACAAAACCAGGGATAACGTTACCTGTACAAATTAAGACTTTTTAGTTACGTTATGGAATGGGGAAATAAATAATTTTACTTTGAAACTTTTCAAATTTGTGTATTTTTAACGTTTAACATTAAATAACCACATTGACTAAATAATTAACGATTCAAGATTAAATTGAACACTTCTGCTTTGTTTTTATTTAAATACATATGCTCTTGATTTATTCAACACTTTCTTTCTTTTAAATTTGAGATTTATTGTAGTGTTTAATCAATACTTTGTATGAAGTGGAATAACCTCAATGGCTTAAAAGCCGCGTTTACACCGGAGTTTGAAACACGAGTTGCAAACAGAAATTGCAAACATCTCTAAAAACGCCCATTTTCAGACGAAACTTTTCGCTGTTGCAAACAGTTTTTCGGTGTTTGCAACAGAAATTTTTGTTTCCACTTGAAGTCGGTAAAGATCAAAGGGAGTTGCAAACTCTTTGTTTGCAACACTAGTTTCGGTCACTATGAGCCGTTGAAACACGAAACAGAAACATGTCTCCGTCATCCCCTACGCTACCACCTCCTGTCTCACTCACGTGATCACTCGCACCACCCTGTATCTCGACTCAGTACCCTGTCTGGACGGCTACCTCGTTATTGTTGTGACTTATCTCGTATCGTGCGTGTTGTGAGTGATGATCTACTGAGTGAGATGGAGTGAAGAGATTACAATATTATTAAGTTAATTAGCTTTTATAGAGAACATGAAGTGCTTTGGAATCAAACTATTTCTGACTATAAAAACAAAAACAAGAAAAACTATGCGTGGAATGACATTTCACGGGAAATTAACTTAAGGTCGAAATTATTTCAAACATTTTCATGAAACATGGAAACAAAACCATGAAATAAAAATTGCAAACTTTTATTTGAAACTACTGTTTGCAACTGGTGTTTGCAATAAAAGTTTGCAACTTTTTGTTTGAAACTCCGGTGTAAACGCGGCTTTAGAAAATAACCTAGAAATAAAGATGGAATAGGTTCGTACAGGAAATATATATTTGTTAATTAAGTAAGTACTATGACAAGTTCGAATGGGAGGAAAAACAATATGCTTGGAGATTTTAAACAGGTACTGTCTGTTGCTCGTAAAAGAGTCAGCTAATGATTAGGCTTAATTTGATAGAATATGTAACGTCAATCGCACGCACCTTTAAGAGGAATACCACCACATAAACTTTCACTAATTGTAGTTTTTTATGTTGATCAGAAGAAATCTAGGGTTAAGTTTGGTCAATGGGATGCCTTTACTTTACACTAATATAAACCCTAACAAAAGAAGTATAAACTTAGAATTATTAACTGGGTAGGGATGCTAATTTAGCGGGTTTGGGAAAGAACTAAGCTTACCTCAAAACACCTTTATTTGCCTTTTCTTATTTGACGAAGACAATTTCCTAAGTTCCAATCAGGGAGGTCTTTTTTATCACAATCAACCACAAGACCAAAGCTACCTTAATAAACCATCATTTATTCAAAAACAATTATATGTTTGCTGTCTTTATCAGAGTTAAAAGCTATGTATTTATTCAAATTATTTATTGAAAATAACATCATCAAAGGCAAACAAAGTCAAACAACAAACTGTTTTTTACACAAAAGATATGGCGTACAGGGATATCTATTCTGACACAGCGATAATATATTTCTTAGTTTGTTTAAATATTGGAATAATTTGTTTTATATTATGTATTGAGCTTTTTAGGGACTTATGTCCCTACAAGCCACTAGTTATAGATATAGATTTGAACCAAAGAACTGGTGACAGCTGGTCTATGCAGTGAGATGACTACTTCAGAATCCAAAAGTCAATGACTGCACATACTCCATCTCATTGTCTCATAGATCCCTCCTGATTATTCAGCTGAAGACATTGTATAGTCTATGCGATCGGAGCTGTATCCTGACCCTCAGTCTAAGCGGGACTGGCCTGGCCCGCTTGAAGGCTGCCTCACCGTCTCAGCTGTTTTAGTCACCTTTTAGTTTACCCACTAGCCACCTAGGTTTAGTTTCGCCACCTAGGTGAGTATCTGACTGAAGGATAAGTTATTTTTTTACCCAAATCATAATTTCTAAATTTTTATTTTTTTTGTATGTACATAAAAAGATAATATCATCGATACTCTAATAGGGGTGAATTTGATTATGAAACAACAGTATAGAGGTAAATACAGTCCCACAAACTCGGGGTAATGTGGACTGGAAGGGTGCCGAGTTTGTGAAATGCCAGGTTATCGGGAACTAGGGTTAAAAATAAGAACAATACAATATTTAATCTTTTTAACCGCCTTTTTTTATTTATATTTATATTAAAAGTCAGTATTGAGTCATCAGATATAGTACAACAAATCCTTGGTACGAGTTGTGAATGATTTGACATGAGCTAGCCTGAGACTATGTTTAACTCGGACTCAAAAATCACTAATTATCTGAGCCAGGTGATGGTCGAGTTATCCAGACTGCCGGGTTATCGAGTGCCGAGTTTGCGGGACTCTACTGTATAAGTATACAGTATACAGAGCTACAGACTGCACCTGTGGTCCAATTTTGATGAAATTTGGTATGTGTGCGGGTACTACTGTATTCCATGGTATTTGCAGGAATGTTTTTAGTTTTTTTTTTTTTTTAATTTTTAATGGTGATTTTCGCAAACAACCTATAAAATAATGGAAAATCAGATTTTCACTAAAACACCATCATCTGAGCAAATCGATCAAAATTTAGTATGTTATAGACCTTTTAATGTTAAACAAAATGGTACAACTCCCAATGCTGTAAAAGTTAGGGTTCAAAAGTTACTTCAACTTTGGTGACTTTCCCTAAAAAATATCATAGTTACTCCCACTGCTTACCCATAATGGGTTGTTGATAAGCTAATAGGAGATAGTATTTCAGATTTCTGATACTGTTTGTTTACTATTTTGTGATAAATCTGATTCTCTGTGTACATTCAATAGCTTTACAATATGGTTTGAGTGGTCAATCTGGGGAGCTTAGAAAGTGCAGTCTTGAATCTTGAGTAAGTAAAGAAGTAGTAAAGTAAAGAAATCCCAATAAAGAGGAATCACAAACACGTTTAATGAAATTAAACTTATTCCTATTCTGACTAAATAAAACATGATAAAACTAATCTTTTGAACTGTAACATTTACAACATTGGGGATTGTACAATTTTGGTTAGAGTTTAAAGGAACATAATGAACTGAATTTTTATAATTATCGTTCAAGCATTTCTTTGTTTTTATATCTAAATCAAATTTTACAGTTATTTTATGGGTTTTATGGAGAAATCTGGATTAAAAATCTAAATTTCTAAACAAATATAAAAGAGCCTGGAGATACTAAACGTATGGTGATAGGCCCCCAAATTTCATCAAAATCGGACCATAGGTCTGTAGCACTGTACACATTCACACACACACAAACAGCATCATTCAAAGACCACCTTTTTTGGGCTCAGGGGGACCCAAAACAGATTTTCCACCAAAACTCAGACTCAAGAAAAAATTTTAATAAGACAATACTTTCTCTAGGGGGAGAAAGTAAAAAGGTACCATAGGGTCAAATCCATGGAGAATTTTAATTGTGTGTTTTCCTACTAATAAAACCTAAAAGCCATATGAAAGTTAAATATTTGTTTCAGTTTCAACATTTTTTGTTCAGACAAGCCAGTATTTTGTACAAGGCAAAGTGGTAAAGCTAAGGTGGTCTCAAGTAAATATGCTGGGGTTGCAGTGTGTGGAGTCAGCAGATGCCTTTCCTGGAATCAGCTGTTTGAGACTAGCAGTACAGCCAACACAAATTGTGAGACACAGTACTGTGTTGTGGCATGGTAGGTGTAGTTGGGAGGTTAGTTTGGAAAATTAATGTTATGTGATCTACCAATATTATCTTGAAGATTTAACATAACTTTTAATGACTTTTAGTCTTATTTTATTTTAAGAACTAACTTCTTAGAAAATTTTATATTTATATTAATTTTAGTTGGCATAAGTAATATTGCATTTCCTATTTGAAGTTTCCATTTGAATTTATACTTATAAAAAATGTACCTATTACAATAACATAATTAAGTTTCAGGTTGTCCAAAAAATGATTCTGTTCTTACCTTCCATGTTTTGTTTACATTCAAAATTTGCATTTTTGCCTTAATTGAATGCAACAATTGTTTGAACATTGTATTATTATTTGTGAAAATTCAATGTTTAATGAATCAAAGATGGATGTATAGATGAAAAGAAAATTATTCAAAATCCAACTTTGAATATCTGATAAGTAGTGAGAAAAGATACAATTACAGTAAGGGACTACCATAATCTACCATATTCTTCAAGGTTTAATTTTTTTACTAAAAAATATCTATATTTTTTATTGGTATTCAATTGTTTTATAAACACAACTTAGCGCAAAATAAAAAATCTTAGAGAACCAAGCCATGTTCTAATAAATTACTATTCGTAAAAATATATTGTTTATACAGATAGCATTAATTTTTTAATAATTTATTACAACTTATTTGTTTAAACTTATAAACAATTTTACTTAAGCATCCTAAACAATACTAATACTAATATTTTTTTTACCAAAATCATACAATTTATTTCATTAGTTGATTTAGCTTCACACCAAGAAATGCAAGTTTATCCAATTTAAACTAATGAAGACAAAACACTAAAAGTTCTATTGGCATAACTGATTCATGTTGGTGACATCACAGTTTAGTCTATGTAGCTGTTCAGCTACACAGAGATGTTGGAGGCTGCATGATTATAAGATAAGCTACATGGTGACATTATTTATCAACAGAAAGTGGAATCACTTCCTTCCAGAACAGTAACACTATAGTCTGACATTATTTTGGTGTGCTAAGTTCTATTTCTGCGGTCTTGCCAGAGGGACTCTTCAACAATGGTAAAGTATTATCAATTTTATAAAACTAAGATTAATTGTTTTGCAAAGTTTCAAGAAATAGGACTGTGTATTTCAATGATTATGTTATTTGCCTTGATTAAATTAGTCTCCTGATATTCAATATTCATATTTTCTGATGCAATCCCTGGGATAAGTCAGTCTAAACTTGAAATTATACCAAAAGTAATATTATAGTCTGTATGATGGAACTTGTCTCCTGACCCTCTGTACCTAAAGTTGGCCTGGGCCATTGCCCCAGGTCACAGAAAACATACTACTATAACCCAGAATGATAACCGCATGGTAAAAAGCGTTAAGTACTCGGAGAGAGCTTTGCCTGTCAATTCGTAGGCAGCGCCACCAGCGTTGTAATGCTGGTGGCGCTGCCTACGAATTGGCAGGTAAAGCTCTGCTGGTGGCGCTGCCTACGAATTGGCAGGCAAAGCTCTGCTGGTGGCGCTGCCTACGAATTGACAGGCAAAACTCTCTCTGAGTACTTAACGCTTTTTACCATGCGGTTATCATTCTGGGTTATAGTAGTATTTTTTTCTGTTCCCAGGTAGATGGAGGCTCCATCATACAGACTATTATCTGTATTCTTAAAAGAATTTGTTTGATTTTTGTGTACCGGTACAGCAAATCAACTATTTCTATCAACTATTTTAAATCCATTATTTTTGTAGACATATTGGGAATCAATTTAAAACTCTTATCCTCTAGATGTGCCTTTTTGCGGGTTTGGATGATATCCTGTGAAAGCCCTTCGTCCTAGGCTTTTAAAATTTCATAGTTTGTGCTGAATTCTATTGTCAATCATCTGAACCATTTCAAGTTCATGTGTTTACATCAAAACAGATGGCCATAGTAAAATTTTGTTTACATCCATATGAAAATGGGGTTATGTAGTTGGTGGTGTTTCAGTGAATTCACATAAAATATGTTGTAAAGTTAAGTTATTTGTATAAAATGTAAGGAATAAAATGACTTAAGTTAGATATTGTGTTGTGAGAGGATTTTGTGTCTTCATAGTAGGTTTTATTGATGTTTGAAGGAATTCAAGTGAAATATTGTAATGTTAGTTGTGTAAAATGTAAAAAAAAAATCACTTACCGGTACATTAGATTTTATGTTTTCATAGTATTCGTTAGTATTTGCAATTGTTCTAAGATGTCTCAAAGAGATCGCACACGCAATGAAAATAATAGGGCTCGCAATGCAAATAGGGCTCACAATGCAAATAATAGGGATATGATTAGACTTAATAGTTTTCATCCTTATCAAATATGTCATGGATTTTAAAGTCACGAAGTGACACAGGTTGCTAGTTGTTATTATTATTATTTTGTGTCTTTACATCAGTCAAGTTTTTTTTTTGTTTTTTGGTAAGAAAAAAGTCCAAATAAACCTCCTCTTGTATCCAATGTCGACCTTATGTTAGTAAAATAGTCAACTGATCCAAGTACAATGGCTTTTGAGCCAAAAATTGTCATATTTTGGGAAGAAACCTGTAACCTTCATTGGATGAATAACCCCTTGGTCAGACATTTCAGTTTATAGATATGATTAATTATAGACAGCAACTAAAATTAATTAATCATAGACTTACTTTAAAAAATCCATCATTTTAATTTTTTTTTTTTTAAGTTTTAAAGTGTCATTTTTGTGTATTTTCTTTCAAAGTAGGGAGCATTAATAGTACAAGTTTATGTCAGAAAAGTAATTAAAAAAAATAAAAACACAGCAAAATTCCAAGAAGTTTTACAGGTTGAAAAAGTAGGGTGTTTTTTAGGAGTGAAGAGGTGTCATTTTCATAAAAGGCTGAAGAGTGTATTGTAGAACATAAATAAAGTATACTCCTAACCAAAAAAGTATACACTAAAAAAAAAAAAAAGTATACACTCCTAACCATGAAAATTGTTTCAAATTGTTGTTATTTCTTCCCGTTTTCGAGTTAATTGTTTTAAGAAAACATGTGTTTTTTAAAAAAAAAGGGGCTTTTTGGGAATTTTTTAGGGGGTTTAAAATAGGAAAGTGTAACACTTTGGAGTTTTCTGATTGAAGGACCGAGACCTATAATCGTACCAAATTTCAGCCTAGCTCTTCTAGAAGTATGTTTGAATTTGAATACCTAATTAGTCATTCAGTGAGTCAGTGGGTTGCACATGTGGAGGAAATGTTTGTAGCACAGGTTTCCTTAAATTGCAACTAAATATTAACAGAAATTAAATTATCCAGCTGATCAAAATGTAAACAAATGTGTTCTTCATAAGGATAACATATGGGAACTTTAAAAGCCACTGGGGCAGAGCCCAAGGGACTTTTTGAAAAATGTAAGGTCAGTTTGCAAATCTACACCTAGACGAACATTCGTATATAATATGTGGGGTTAAATCTTAAAACAAAAAAACCTTATTGTTCACAAAGTTTCATGTAGCAATATTAATAATATAGATAGAAGATAGATACTGTAGATGTTTTCTTGGTTAATATTGGATGCAGAAAACTGGATTAGTTGAGTTTCTACCATATTCATGGACAGGCTATTTTACACTGCAAACCACTCCCCGAGGAGTTGAAATTCATAAGTTTTAGAGGCTTGTACAAACTCATTGTTTTGTCCTGTACAAATTAGAGCGGCATCATCTGTGTATTGAAAGGTGGTTATCTTGGTAGCATTACATAGATCATTAACATAACAAATAAACAAGGCCCAAAAAAGAATGGAGCTCTGAGGAACTCCACACTGACTTATAATAACACTGGTTTATAATAATCCCTCTGCTTTTCTTGTATAACAAATCTTTGTTTTTGGTTTGTTGAATATGACATAAACATATAAACCATTTTAATTGATTTTTTTATACATAATAATAATACTAGGGGTCGTCCAGTGGTCGAAAACTCGACTACAAATATATAATGTACAGACTTCTCAATTCCCCCCCCCCACGCTGTAAATAAAACATATGATTGGAATTTCTTCCACTTGTTTTGATTTTCTGTTTATTTTGTTGTTATTTCATCACCAGCATGGCAACCCATAAGCCCATGTTAATTTTTTCTTAATTTTAAATTCATTTTTTGTGCTTATATTAGAGCCTATTTTAATTCATAAAGGTGTTCTGCACATCTACAGGAAAATATCTTTCTAACAGTATGCGTAGATTTTCCCTGCGATCCACACGAGCTGAGAAAAAAGGTTTTAAAGAAACATGATTGTCCATTAATATATAGATGTGTTTTTTTTTTCATTAAGAATTGTTTTTATGAAGAATTGAATACAAGGCTACATCTGTCAATATAGATTAGATATCTAAATCAGTATCCAAAGGTCAACGCTTAAAATTGTAATGAATGAATCACACTGTACAGGATAAGTTGTCGACCAAGGAGATGCGCCATTCCTTGGACTGGCTGCTACAGCTAGCGCTATGTCCTGTATGCCACGAGACACTGACGCCGGCTGTAGTGCAGTGTGTGCGGGGACATCCAGTGTGCGCCGGCTGTCACGATGCGCTGCCCAGAGCACAACAGAAATGTCCCCAGTGTCGAGGAGACTTCAGCGACAACCAGTCTGTGTTCATCCAACAAGTCATCGAGTCATTGCCTCACCCTTGCAGGTGATTCTCTTCTAATTATTGTTAAACATTAACTGAGTATTAAAATATTATCTGGGTAGTCGAGTATGGAACTATTAGTCAAAGATAGAAACCCACTAATCTGAAAGTAGCTATAGCAGCTAGTTTGAGCAGGATCAACTCTGGACCCATATGCTGTGTTTTGTCAGTAACCTTTTAATATATTATAATACAATAGAATGTATCAATAAAATGTTTCACTCGCAAAGTGTTAAGAGGGTTGGTTTACACTATTGGTCTTGTTTCATCTCATATCTTTTTCAGTAGCTATCATGGTTTGGACTGGACAACACCTAAGGGTTATGCTGTGTGTACATATTTCAAAAACTACAAGTCAGTGATTATGATTCAAACAGCTTTTGATGACGGTTTTTGTTTCCTTCGCTACACAAACACAATGCAATTATGAGTTAAAAAGTTGAAAGAAAGTGGTAAAACTTTCGATTGGTGTTAGATGTATCGTATCCATGTTCAAATGAATTTATGGGTTACTGTTTGTTTCCATCACTATCTCCAAAAAGTGAAATTTTGTGTGTGTATTGTATTTATGCCAGTAGCATTCTTTACGTTTTGAAAGGGAACGGTCTTGAAATATTCTCTCTGTGTTGTAACTACACACATCACAACCACTTTAGGGATGTTTAGAGGTATGGGATTTAGCTGTTTTTCTGATGAGTTTTGCAAAACAATCATTAAAGTTTCTACAGCAAAACACATAGTGTTCACGACTGGTTAGCACTATGTATGTTTACTAAAATTCCATAGTTTAATTGAGATTACAATCAGCTGTTCATTTATTGTTGCAATATTTATTGTGAGACAGTAAATAAATATGGTGCCCATTGCCTCAATCTGTACGTCCCGGAATACTTCCAATGTGTTCGTTATATCATATGTCTTATTCTATTCAACTATTAATTTAGTTTGTGAGATTACTAAACCATTATAAAGTATGTGATATTTTTCAGGCATCAAGGCTGCAATTACTTTGTCAAAACCAAAGACGACCATGAGAAGTTTTGCCCCTACAAATGCACCAGCTGCCGCTACTGTGACTGGACAGGGCCTTCAAACTCTATCCTCGCTCATCTTTCAGACGCTCATGGGAAGTGGGTGAATATGTTTCTGGCACCAGAATCCATGGGTGAACTCGGAATGGGATTTAACCCAATGGAGGAAGTATCCGTCTTCACTCCAATCATAGCCGACGGTCATTTCTTTTGGGGAGAGATGAAAAACGAACCGGAAGCTGGGAAGTTGACAGCAATATTCCACCCTTTGCCTTCAGGAAAGACAACGTCTGTGTTCAGAGCCTCGGTGAAATTAAACCGTTCAGGATCTTATCGGGCAGATGTGAAGATAAACATGGACCCTGAGGCAAACGCATCTGTAGAAAACTGTATCTCTATCCCGACATCAATCCTACACAAGTTTACTTCTCACAACAGGTTTGAGTACAGAATCACCGTTACCAAGATGAAGCTGGAATCTATGTACGGCTTTGTGCAGTCAACTTTGGAGATCTTCAAAAAATAGGTAGTTGGTGAGAGTGCTTCAGTGCTTCCAAGGACAAAAGAACTGAAAGCGATATGATTGAGTTTGTGATATCCTTGCTACATTTTATTAGTATGAAAAACATTTATGTAATCACTTTTTAATGAATTTTTTCCTTAGATATTCATTAGGTTAGTTTTTGTAGAGAAGAGCACTTGGCTTACTAAGAAGGAATGGATTCACATCTAACTTATCCAAGAAAAAAGTTCCAGGCAGTTAAAAAATTAATTTGATTAGTTTGCCCTTACAAGTGCCTTCTTCAGAAGAAGGAAGTGGTAGATTTTCTAATACTTTCCTCTGAAGAAGCCCCTTGTATGGGCGGAATATAAAAATAATTGTGTTAACACCCTACTACATCAAATCCTCCAGGACGTTGTATTTTGTTAACCACCTGGAACACTTTTCATGGACGAGTTAAGTTGGGTCACTGATCCGTTCCTTCTTTATGAATGCATTTAAATATTCACAATTAATTGTACCATCTGTAAGTTACTTACATTATTCATGCACTTTTTAATTGTTGTAAAATGTCATCATACTATTTCAATAAAAATAACTGCATTGAAAATGCAACCCAAATTGCATTATTTTTGTTTAATCATTTGTTCACTGAGAAGCATTACCACTAATTTTGAATATCTTTGACTTTTGCTCTAGATTAATTAGTAAATTTTGATAAAGAAACTGAAAAAATGCATAGATGTAAAAATTTAATCAAATCTCTCTTAAAGATATCCACTATGCTGTTAACTTGACATAGGATATTAAAATTAGCCTTAAAACAAAAATATTTCAATTTTCAGTGTAAATTTTATAACTTAAATTATAATTTACAAAATGGTAATCTGTTCTATCTTCATGCACCCAGAAGTTTCTATCGCACAGGGCATAACGGTATTCCTCTAACATGAGAGTATGTACATGTTACATGTTACTGTAGGAAAGCTCACCAAGGTTAAGGAAAAATATGAAGATATATAAAGATTGTTTTGAAAAAAAGTAGAGTGGCAACGCCTTTACAATCCTGCCCCACTACACCACTGATGGCAAGTGGGGTCGGGGAAAGGAGTGCCAGGGGGGTTGCGAGAAGCGAGACTGGTGCTAGACACCGCAGTGAGTAGTGCTAGTAGACGCCCCATTGAATGTTTGCTCTGCACCTCACTTCTCTCTGCACTGTACACTGGGTTAATTGGCTAGTTAACTTGATGATAATTTTACAGGTACCATCACTGAGTGAAATTTTAAAAACGTACGTTTTCATGTCCCTGGCCTTTCACTTCGTAGATACTGGATTTGTAGTTTATTATTATGTATTTTAATATTTTTTGGGACGGGGGCAACATGTTACACACATTTATTTGGTTTTAAATAGGTTCTAGGTATTTTTTTCATATTTTTAAAGTATCTAAATTCACGACCATGACGTGTCCCTATATAGGGTACATTTTCCACCTTTTCGCTGTTTTTAGACTAATTATTCATGCCGAAATATAAAGCCATACTTTTATGTCAACAATAGTTATTAAACTTACAAAAAAGAAGCATATTACAATTTTATTGTCATTGCAAACTGACTACCATGAAAAAATAAGTCTGTCCCTCGATTTGGCGTTAGGACCATTTGGGAAAAAATTTCAACTTTGGAGCACCACAGTGGCAAGCCTGGCGACGATTGCGTCAGTTCGTTTTAGAGACTAGTTCGGGGTGTACGTCAAGTTTGTTGTGCCGGTCGTTTTGTATTGAAAGAATTAGTTACAAGATTAATAAAGGTAAGTTTGTGTTTTTTTGTAATTTTGGTGTGTCCATGATCGTACATAGTCATTTGATGAAGTAGACGTGGTGTTAATTTTTTTTTATATGATATTTCAATTGCTACATTAACCTTGAAGTCCACTTTGTATCCTCGAACATGAGGTGCAGGGCTACAGCCAGAATAGAGCCAAATAACACGTAATGTCACGACCAAAGTTTCACGACCATCGCGGTTTTTTTCACGACCAATCCAGCCTTATGGATTATATTGTGTTTGGTCGTGACAATAACTTAAATATCATTGTAAATTGAACAGTTTAGTTCAATTGAAACACATATTTTTATTATAACTAACAGTTTAATTGAAGGATTGTTTAGAAAGATTTCGATTATTCCAGACAATTCACGACCGTACCGCTTGTCCCTGACCATCATCACGTATGTGATTTCTATCATAAAAATTTCAAAAATTAAAATATCTTCATATTTCATTGTTTTATACACAAAAGAAGCACACCTCTATAAAAACATAACGATTTTTCGGGTCTCAGGTAAGTTTTTTTGGAGTTATACAAACTTAAAAGATTTTATTGGCTTTCAATTTTTTTTATTTTTTTTATTTTTTCTAGAAAGACCAAATATACCAAAAGCTTAGTGAGCTGTTTATTGTATAATGGCCATTAAACTAAAAGTAAATTAATTCAAAGCAAAACAGTTTGTTATAAAAATAATATTAACTACCGTAAACCGGGGTTACTTGAAACAGTTTTCAGGTTTAAAGTTATCCTGTTCAGAAACCAATTGACGTATTTTAATGATTGATATGTTTATTTTTTAGTCTTAGTCTGTAGAACACAATGCACTATTTAAATTACACTTTTTTATAAAAGTGTAACAAAAAAAAAATAAAAAGTAGGTGTTTCAAGTTACCCCTTGGTATGGGGTAACTTGAAATGCCCATTTAAATGTATTATAAAACATGAATATTTCAAGTTAGAATGGTGTGGGGGTTCTTGAAATGAAAAAGGGGTTTTTAAAAATATATTTAATAAATGAAAAGTTGAAAAAAACTCGCAAGGTCAAACAAAAACTAAGACTCTTCATCTGAACCTACATCTCTAATGGGAAGCAGTAACGGCCCCTCTTTACAACAATGGTGTAATGCTACACATATTTATATTGCATATAAACATACATCTAAAATAAGATAAAATAATATTCAACGACTTTCATATAGTATAATGTAAAACTCACAAATCTTTGATGGGCTACATGGTGTTTCAACACTGTTTCAAGTTACCCCACATCTGACATCAAAGAGAAAAAAAATTGAAAAAAAATTTAAAAACAAGAATTGGCAGAAAATCTTCTGCTTCATTCTGTGTAGTAATATTTGAGGTTATGTTGTGACCTTGGTTAGTCTGATTAAAATTGTTGGTGAAGGCTGCAGTTAAGAAGTTTTCAGACCTATAAATTTTGTTCAAACTTTTAATTCCAATTAATGTTATAAATTAGAGTAGTTACCTATTTTTTAAAGGTCATCTATTAACACAATCTTAATAGTCATCTAATGACGCATTAAATCCTCTATTGTATAGCAATGAATCAGGCAGAGATTATTAATACCAACAAATATGCAAAAACAGTACCAAACCATTTCAAGTTACCCCACCATTTCAAGTAACCCCGTTTTACGGTATTTTTAATATTCAGTTTTATGTCCGTGATGGTCATTACAAAATTTTGTGTTTTTCCATCAAAGATGCTCTATTAATAAAAAATCACCAAAGATATTGCGTTACCATGGACATTTTATGAAACTTCAAATGTCAATGAAATAAAAAAAATAAAAGAAAGTTTCAAAAAACGGAACAAAAAATTTTAAAAGTGCTTTTCCTGAAAACGTACGTTTTAAAATTTTCACTCCACTGCAAATGCAACACAATTGATTAGACACCCTAAAGACACCCCATTGCACACTTGGACGATGTTTGTCTGAAATATGGCGGAAAAATTAAAAATATTCCCACTGATATTTATGTATTAAACCATTTTTTGAGTGCTGTGTTCCCAGTACAGAAAAAAACTCTTGTCATCTGCTTTGAAACAATAGCTTTTCAAAACCAAAAGACCAAAAGAGCCAATTATTCAACGATTTTTTTTTAAATAGATATTCCCAATTGACCACAGTTGTAGGAAGTTTACTGGGAAAGTAAAAACAGATTAAATATCCAAGAAATAGTTATACAGCGTAGCATTTCTTTGTGCTTGCTATAGTTATTTTTGATTTTAACACAGGGGCGGCATGTCTACCAGGAACAGGTAATATAACAGTAAGTTTAACAAGAAATGAATATAACAATAGATGAACATGTAGCAATATAAGATTCAATATGTATATAACAATAATAATAATACATAAACAATGGGTCAACTCAACAGGTACTAACAGGCCGCCAACAACTTGTACAGTCACTCATTGATAATTTATTTTTCCTACAGTCACCCGACAATGTTGGCTTCCTTGTACTGTTTATAGTACAGAAAGCTGCTAATTGGTGCATATTTATACTTTGCCGTACGGTTTATACTTTGCCGCACATCAGGATTCCAACGAAACAACACAAAACAGCGTGGTTCTATTATGCACGTAATCCGTGTACGCTTGGAAATAGGTTGGCAACACTTTAAGATAATAATACCATGAGCAGCTGATTGACTATTATAACTACGATTTAACCTGTCATTTCGTGTTTATAGTTTCGGTATTTCTGAACTTTCTGGACTTTTCTTTTCAACGTTTTTAAAACATTCCTACGATCTTAATAAACAAGAAAATACCTTTAAAGCATTCTTTTTAGGCGCGGAAACCACTTCAAATTACAAAAACATACGGAACTATATTCTCAAATCGCGGAGCACATTTCTTGCCGAGGAAAAATAGCGGAGTGATACGGACCGCGGGTACTACTTTCTCTAGGGCACCATTTGTGTTGCCAGCTGAACCTAAAAGCGTGTTGTATAGTGTTTGAAAGACTAATTATTTATATGCTTTATAGTGACTGCAGGAAAAATATAATGTGTAACACGAGTGAAAAAGGCCTTTGCTGCACTCGAGATCATTCCGCCTCGTGTGCAGCAAAGTGCCACTTTCACCACTAGTTACACAAATAACTATTTCCTACAGTTACCTAACAATGTACATGTTCTCTCACTGATTTGAGAAAGCAAAGTGGCCAATTCGCTCATCTCACTCTAATTACTTTGTCTCACTCCAGATTTGCAACGTGAAGGCACGAAATAGTGAGCGCGTAACCTGCAGGCAACGTCGTATGCGCGCGAAATACGTTGGCAGCACTGGCTGTAAATCAGCTGGTCAGCTGTTGTTGTACTGTTGTATTTGTCTCTTCACATTAAATGTTATATTAAAAGTTCACTTTTGTGTAAAAATAGGTTATGTTTCTTCACAAATTTATTTGTTTTATGGTAACTGTAGGAAAAGTATAATGTGCAACTCGAGTTCAAAGTACAATTGCCTCACTCGAGAAACCATTCCTCACTCACCTACGGCTCGTGAGGAAGGATTTCTCTCGAGTGAGTCAATTGCTCACTTTTCTCACTAGTTGCACAAATAACTATTACTATGGTCATTGACTCGTTTCTTCTTCAATTTAAATCGCGAAAACTAACACTAAACGTTCAGTGATATCATTTTCATCATACACAGGTATGCTATTACATGTATTCAACAAATAAGATATTTACTCAACTCATTTCAGTTTAGTCGTCCTTGAAAGTCATCAACCGCCAAGGTGAGTTTAAAATTATAATCACGTGACCAATTCTTAACCAACAACTAACCAATCAAAATGTTTCTATAACATTTTGAAGCTTTTGCACGGTTGCGCTCAGTTCCATTCATTAATGTGGCATTGAAATATTTGTAAATTTTATCTTATTTGAGGAGGCGTTGTGTTTGGTGACGTGATAATGTTGCGAATATAACGGAGGATTATTGTTTTACAATTGTAGAGTGAGTGTGTAGTGATAGGAAAGTGCAGTGTTTTTGTTTTGAGAGCATAATAAAGTCTCAATTTATGTTTCTTTTTACACGATTTTCAAGATGGAGGAGGCCAATGATAGTAGCAGTAAAAATACTATTAAACAACTGAAATCTGTTGAAAGCAGCGACCTTGATGATGAAAACTCCAAAGATAGTAAGTTTGCTTATCCTGAGTACTAATTATTTAACATTTTACATCTAATGTAGTTTATCTACACAAAAGATAGTCCGTCTGCCTCGGCCAACAGTCGTTTTTCCAAAGTGTTATTAGATCGGCCTTGGCTTAGGCTTACATACAGCTTATTCGCGTTTTCGTTACAACGTATGCCTACCTATGTCAATTTGATCTTAACTTTAAAGTAAGATAGGCTAGTTACGTTTAGTGTTGTCAACGAAACTAGGCCCTAGGCTACTAACACACTGGCCTTGGATTAGGCCTAGTCCCAAGTCATTCAAACCCACAACTTTTGAGCTAAGCTTGGTCTTGTTCTTCGTTTCGTTCTGGCTAAAACAAGTTAAGTTAGCCTAGGTAGCCCAACTACAATAGCCTAACTTAGGCCCATTAAGTTAATAAGTTTTAGCTTAACACGTTCGCTACTGCAATGGTACAAAATTTTCCGGTAATTATATCGACCTCCGGACCTCACCCGAAATTAAAAATTTTTTTTTTCAAAATGGTCGAAATTTCACGCTGATTTCAAAAATGATTGTCGTTTTTTTCGGAAACGTCCCGTTTTCCCGGAAAATGGGAAAAACGGGAAAAATATTTTTTTCCTCAAAACCCATGTTGTGGGTACTCAAATTATGCGGAATTTCCTCCTGAACAAGAATATGTAAATTTCATTACGATCGGACCACTATTAAGTAAAATATCACCGAAAAACGGGAAAACGGGGAAATTTCTTTTTTACTCAAAACCCATGTTGTGGGTACTCAAATTGTGCGGAATTTCATCCTGAACAAGAATATGTAGTTTTTATTACGATTGCTTTTAAGTAAAACATCACCGGACAGGTTAACTAACCTAACATAACCTAACTTAGGTTTAGATAAGTTAGGTTAGGCTATGATAGGTTAGTTTAGGTTAGGTTAGGTTAGGTTGGTTTAGGTTAGGTTGAGTTTTGTTAGGTTAGGTTAAGTTTGGTTAGGTTAGGTTAAGTTAGGTTAGGTTAGGTTTAGGTTAGGTTGAGTTTTGTTAGTTTAGGTTAGGTTAGGTTAAGTTTGGTTAGGTTAAGTTTGGTTAGGTTAAGTTTGGTTAGGTTAGGTTATGTTATGTTAGGTTAGGTTAGGTTAGGTTAGATTAGGTTAGTTTACTTACAATACTCATGTTATTAATAAACTAACCCAACCTAACCTAACTTACGAACTTAGGTTAGGTTAAGTTAGGTTAGTTTACTTACAATACTAACCTAACCTAGTTAGGTTGAGTTTTGTTAGGTTAGGTTAGGTTAAGTTTGGTTGGGTTAGGTTAGTTTACTTACAATACTCATGTTATTGATAAACTATTCTAACCTAACTTAGGAACTTAGATTAGGTTAGGTTAGGATAAGTTAGGTTAGGTTAGGTTAGGTAAGGTTAGTATTGTAAGTAAACTAACCTAACTTAACCTAAACTAACCTAACCTAAGTTCGTAAGTTAGGTTAGGTTGGGTTAGTTTATTAATAACATGAGTATTGTAAGTAAACTAACCTAATTTAACCTAACCTAACCTAACCTAACCTAACCTAACCTAACCTAACCTAGCCTAACCTAACCTAACCTAACAAAACTCAACCTAACCTAACTAAACCTAACCTAACTTAAGCTAACCTAACCTAACAAAACTCAACCTAACCTAAACCAACCTAACGTAACGTAACCTAACCTAACCTAACTTATCTAAAACTAAGTTAGGTTATGTTAGGTTAGTTAACCTGTCCGGTGATGTTTTACTTAAAAGCAATCGTAATAAAAACTACATATTCTTGTTCAGGATGAAATTCCGCACAATTTGAGTACCCACAACATGGGTTTTGAGTAAAAAAGAAATTTCCCCGTTTTCCCGTTTTTCGGTGATATTTTACTTAATAGTGGTCCGATCGTAATGAAATTTACATATTCTTGTTCAGGAGGAAATTCCGCATAATTTGAGTACCCACAACATGGGTTTTGAGGAAAAAAATATTTTTCCCGTTTTTCCCATTTTCCGGGAAAACGGGACGTTTCCGAAAAAAACGACAATCATTTTTGAAATCAGCGTGAAATTTCGACCATTTTGAAAAAAAAAAAATTTAATTTCGGGTGAGGTCCGGAGGTCGATATAATTACCAATTTTCCATTCACGTGGACCAGCGACGCATATATGCGACGGCCGGTTTCCACCCACGGACTGCCGTCGCATATATGCGACGGCTAGTCACATTAAAATAGACTGCCGACGCATATCTGCGTCGGGGTTCTAATGTTATTAAAATGCTTATATATCTTTGTAGTGGTCTATTTGAAGGCACTGAATTCCCTGCAGTGGTCTACAGAGATGTCTGACGCACAACTGCGTCGCTTGGTCTGTGGATATGATGATTGGTGACGTCATATTAATAGTTGGAAAAACTTGTCTTTACTTTTCTGCATCACTGTATGTATGTAGGTACCGTATGCAGTATGTACGCTGCATTATCCTATGTAGCTTTTATATTTGTTCAGTTATAAACTGTTCTTGAATAATCTGTTTATTTCTTTACTTACTTTCACCTTAAAACACAAAAAAATTAACCGTCGCATATATGCGACGTTTAGTCTATTTCAAGAAAACTATGATAATTTTCATTATTGTCTTCGCTGTAGACCGGGCGTCGCAAATATGCGGCATTACAAAAGGTTATAAAAAATACAAATAAACAAGAATAATTTATTTACAAACACCATTGTAGCGTATTACAATGTAAATGATCGCTGTTTTACAGGTTTTCGCCCGTGGTCTGTGTGTACTGTTATCTAAGTGACAGTCGGTCTATGTGTAAGATTCAAATGTATACCTCGGTCTGTGGCAATGACCGCGGCGTCGCATATATGCGACGCTCAGTAGCGAACGTGTTAATAGACTAAAAACGTACACCCAAGCAAGACCTCGTTTGTGCTGATGAGCTCCCCAACAACCATAGGTTTTGTATGCTAGATTTTGATGTAGGCCCACCTTTGCTGAGAAGCCTACCCATTTATTTAACCCTCCAAGAGTCTTTAAGTACCGTAGGCCTAAACTTAGGTAGGTACTTAAGTCACCTACTTAGGTCATCCTTGGCGATGCGAACTTCAACATCCTTTACCAGGGTACTGGACCGAAACACAACTAAACCTAGAGAACTTCCTTAAACCCAACATGAGTGCCATAAGTTTTAAGTTAGGCTAAGTTAGTAGACAAATATCAGTAAGTAAGTTACCTAACTAACTTAAGTTAGTAACTTGACACCCTCACCACAAACACATGCATTGAATGGATTTTACACCATCATAAAGTAAACGGTATTATCGATCTGACACATACTTTCTCCCATTAGTTTGTCAACAACTTTTAGATAAACGGTGGGAGTAGGCTCCAAATCCCATCTTGGACCATCACTATCTAACCTAACTTATTAAGGTCTGCCTGACTAATGTAGGTAACTTAACCCTCCGATTGTTATGTGTCGTAAAAGCGACGCACAAACACTGTTTACGGCGACGGATCTGGGACTGATTGAATCGGATTGAACTGGATCGAGTTAGGTATCGTTTTTTAAGCAGATTCAGAGCTTTCTCCTGATGTCTGTTTCTATAGGGTGGAGTGGGGTAAGTGTGACAGCGGGGTTTACGTGTGATAGCCGGGCCATCTTTTTTTTTGGGAATCGCTGAAAAAAATTGGTTTTGTCATAGAAATAATGTTTGACATATAAGGTATCTAGTTACATAGTTTTTTTTTATCAATTTAGCAACTACTGTATGTTGATTTTATTGGTTTTTATAAGTCCGACATTTTAGGTCAAAATCTAAGTTTGTTCGGAAATTTTGTTTAATTTGTAGTTATTTTAAATTTTGACCAATTTATATCAAACTCAGATTTTTAAAGAGCCTAAAAGCTAAACTTTTAGAAAAAAAAATTTTAAACGTGTAGGGACAAATTTATCATTAAATTTAAAACCACATGTCACACTTACCCCGGAAATTTTCAATGGCTGGGGCAAGTGTGACACTGACACCCGGGGCAAGTGTGATCTGATATACCTAATCTGATGTTAATCTGTGTGATCTGATGCAAGTTTTTACAAATTTCCGCAGATTTGTACGTCTTTATTTCATTTGTAAATATCTCAAAAAGTAAGAATGATAGGGACTTAAATCAAAATGTTCCTGAATGAGCACTAACTGGGTATTTATCACAATTGCCCCATTTACCATTAAAAGAGATACAGGAATTTATAGAGGCCGCTATCACACTTGCCCCGACCCCATGGGGCAAGTGTGACAGCTGGCAGGCATTTTTTGTAAGTAAAAAAAAAATTAAGTAAAAGCATTTAAGTTTATCACATTGTTTTTTTTTTACCAATAAAGATATTTCCAAAGTTTAAGTGTTAAAAATTTCAAGTTTCTAGCTTTATAAATAACCGAGAAAAAAAAAATTGTAAAGATGAACTTTATGATTTTTAGGTCACACTTACCCCACTCCACCCTAAGCTTTTCATTTTAGTTCCGAAAATATTGTAGCAGACAGCTGACGTGCGTATTTGTAGGCTAAACAGCTTGGTTAGCTAAGAATGCATAGCCTAACCATAGCTAGGAATCTGGCTGATAATTTACATCAATATCACTAGGCCTACCTACTTCTTCAGGATCATCGTGATTTTCTAACTATTTCAAAGTACCACAGAAAATCTCATTTGTACGCTTATTTTTTGTCACATGCCATTGAAAGTGGGGAATTTGTGAACAGTTTGAATTAGGCTTTCTATGCTGTAGTATGTAGCCTAACTTAATATTTTTCTCAACTGAGTTTACATTTACCCCAAAATTGTAGGCAATTGTGAATGCCATCCGGGCAATTGTGAATGCGGAATAACTCCTTCACTAAATAGGGTATGAAATCAGCTTGTATGAAATATTAAGCCCAAAATATGTATAATGCTATAACACTGACCACATTTTTAAAACTGCTTACAATTTTTTTGTAAATTGCGTTTATCTGAAAAATTTGTCATTGGCGTTCACAATTACCCACGTTGACCCTAGTTCAACTGTTCCTTTAGAAGAACATAAATGAACCAACGGTTAGGCTAAACACACACAAAATGAAATCTAAAAAACTCAAAAGTTCCATCAAATTATCTGAATGTGACCGCATCTAAAATGCTTATCTCTTGTTAATATTTGATTTTTTCAGGTGTCTTAACAACAGGATCAAAGTTGTGCCTTGTTGGAGCCGCGAGTTTGGATGTAGAAGTTGAAAAAGCAGCAAAGGTAATTTTGAGCTTCTTTCTTAAGCTAAAGCTACGTGCACTGTTTGTTTCTATGAATAAATGTTACTAAAGGTATACAATAATTCTGGCTACTGTATAATTCATGAAGTCTTTTTTTATAGTAGGTTTATTATGAGTGAGCATTCCGTATCAAGTTTTTTACTGGGCAGTTTGATTCAATAATGATTCCCCACTCATAATGTGGCTCAGTCATGGTTAGCTTAATGTTACGCTCTACATATACCTTGTAGTAGTTTTGCTGCACTAACGAGAGAATTACAGTCAGGGTAGTTAATTAGATTGTTTTGTAATTTTGAAGTAAGCTACAACAAATTTGATTTTTCTAAATAAGATTTATTTATTTCTTGATAGAAATGTCCAGTGACATATATTTCTTGTCGTGAATGAAGAATAGAGATGTGTTTTGGGTCGGTGAAACGTGAAAAGTATGGACATTTGTAAGAATAAAAACAAACTTTTTCTTTTAAGTTTATTTGATGATTTGTTGCTTCTCGTGAAAAATTAACTTAGGTACCTGAAGGTAACTTAATTTGTGTATAATAGGTGTTCAGTATTTTCAGGACTAGGCCTACTATAATGGCATAATAAGGTTTATAATTTGTGTTAACTTGATTTTGATTAATGATTAATTATGCTGAAATAAACTGTTTTAATTAATAGGTATCATTTTAGATAATTTTCCATAATAGGGAAAAAGCTATTACCGTAGGTCTCATGGTAAGACCTGGACCCGGGACCGATTTACTTTTTCCTTTTGAGGTCCCTAGAGGCCAAAAACACCAACCGTTCAAATTCATATATATATATATATATATATATGTCCGTTAGCACGATAACTCGAACAAAAATGATCCGATTTTAATGAAATTTGGTATGTAAACCTACATTTATTCTAACGAGTTTGCGAACCAGCATGATCGGACGATGGGAACGGGGGTTTATGGGGGGTAAAAATGGGGTTTTCCCATTTTTGACCCTAAAAACATAAAGTTTTGGAATATCTTTCCCACCCATTTTGTAGAGCTAAAAAAAAGAAATAGTTTAGTATATTGAAGCATTGTTTTATGCCTAATGGTTACAGAGAAAATTCAAAAAAGTTTAAATTTAAAATTCCCATGTTATTCTTATAGAGAAAATGATTTAACTGTTGTAGTTTACTTGTTTATGGATATACGTTGATAAAATTTGGCAAATTTATTTATTTCATACTATACTATTGACGTTTGGTCAAAAAACACTTTTTACCTTATACGTAGCAGCAAACCTAAGCACTCGTTAAATCTAATGCTATTTAAATTGGGAATAAATATGTCTTATTTATGGAAATATTTTACCAAAAATTTAATCAGACAAGTGAAAATTCGCTTAGTCTGCAGGTTTGCTGCGGCGGGGGTATTTCTTTCACCAATTCGTGTTTGGCTGGTTGTACTTTACTTTTCAACTCAAGATTGTTTCTAAAAGTTTCGGTCAATTGCTTGGTGAACAATCCCATTTGTTTTTACATATTGCAAACGGAAGCCGTCAGAACTAATGAGTTACAGTTCCACGAACCTAATTAAAAACAATCAATATAACTTCTGTTGAAGCACAAAGTGCAGACTGTTGTCACTACAATGACATATTTGTTTTGAAATTGCACAACTTAGCTAAACGATATGTTTGTTTAGTGTGATAACATTAAGATTACTCCAGTTACAAAGTGTTAAATATGTTACAGTTGTTGAAAATAATTCTCTTTTTATTTTAAATTATCTTTTTATCACTCTCTTTAAAAATTAGATTTTCTCAATTTTTTCTGTACCTAGTAGATTTAATTCTTGGTAATCTAACTAAAGCTTGAGTTATTAGAACTATTAAACTTTAGGCCATTAATTTATTTGATCTTTTAGATAAAAAAAAAATAACTCAATTACAAGAGGTTAAAATTGTTATGTAGGCCTACTTACCTAGCTTAAATCAACAAAATATTGTACAAGCCATTGGCAGAAAATGCATCTCTCTTTGTAGTTAAAGATGTATGATTTGATTTAATAACAATTCTAGCCAGCTGATGATACAAAAAACATTATGCTATAGGCCTATTGTATCGTTTTCACTTCCATAGTTGAAAAATAAGTGATTTTTGCGAGGGCCATCGGCCTACTCTAGGACCTAGATCTTAAACCAATTGCTTATTGTGCATGGAAAAGAATAATACAGTACAGTGGAACCTTGATAAGTGTCATTTTCAAATAGGCTTACTCACTTTTTATACTACCCGAATCACATGTTATTGAAAAATCTCAATAAGCAGTCAACCGTGATAACAATTATTTTGCAATAATTACCATGAGAGACTTGTAATCGAGATTCTGCTACATGAAAAAAAATTATTCATTTTTGTGATTTTCACACTAGAAACTATTTGAAACTTTTGTTTCTAGGCTCAATATTTGTTTATTAACTGACAAATATTTTTGTTATACTCTAATATTTTAACGATTGTCTCAGGGGTTTGGCTTGGAAGTGCTGACGTCAGAAGATGGATCTGAATGGCAAGATTTACCTGTCAACACAATATACTTCGTTCTGGAAGAGTTTGAAGGCAATGTGTTTGATAATCTGCACAAACTTGGTCACAGGTATGAAAGAATTTGCATCTTTTGTTGAGTATACTAACAATTACAAGCAATCAAGGGAGCTGCCAGAGAGTTCTATGGGGTCTGCAGGGTCCCTGAAATCTGTGGGTCGTTTTAGGCCAACAGTCTGTCCAAGAGACTGTTTGATTTATTCAAGCTTATTATATTTGAAGCTGGCTAATTTATTGAAGGATGTTTTGGATCCCAGCTTTTACTCTCGCAATGGCAGAAGCGTCTATAAAGATTGCGCAATTAATATACAATGTAAGCCTATTATAAACCCAATTGTATTTTAACTATTAACATTTTAAGTAATCAATACTTTCCCAAGCAGTCTGATTTTGGCTCGACCCTATTTTAAACCGAGACACACACGTAAATTTTTCTCACAATGTTTTTTGTAACAACAACCCAAACAGTTTTTTTTATATAAAAGGTTTGGCCTGCATGTCCCCACTTGGGAGACAAGAAAATAGCCCATACTAGAAAATTTTGAATATAAAAGATGTCAATGCATTTTTCGCAAGATGTTTAATACAACCAGACTGAAAGTGATTGGTTGAATGTTTGTGACAGATTGCTCGGGACCACAGCCCTGCGGGAGTTGGCTGCTAGACAAGAGCCACTACCCCACAACAACAGGCCTCTATACAGCCTGGCTATGTGGGGTCTCATCGTGGCGTTCACCGGCTTCCGAAAGAAAGAAGAACTGGTAAACATTTACAACATTATCCTTGAAACTTTATTATACTGCCAACTTAATTTAAAGTTTAAAGCCTTGTTGTCGAACATTTGTTTATTTTCCACTGCTTTCACTATGGCTATGAGCACACTAGGCGACTCGGTGACTGTGACTTATTCGCGACTTGGTCGCAGGAGGTGGGAATACCTGAGCGACTTCTGAGATGATTTTTTAATGATAGTCGATCTGTTGCTATTTATTGAATATCTAAAAAGAAAGAGTAAACGCATATTTTGAGTGCATTCCCTGAAAAACAGCCGCGTGACTGGACTGCTCCGTGAGCAGTTCAGTCGCTTCAGTCGCGCGGCTGTAACGAATTTATAGTTTATACATACGAATTTTGAGGTGTGTAGACGCGTGGCTAGAGCCGCGCGGCTAGAGTCGTAACAGTCGCAGGATAGGAAATGGACCTTAACACAATTGTTTAAACAATGATGATGTATTTTCAAATTTCAAATTATTCATAGTATTTTCGGATAAGCATTGAGTCAGCTAATGACATTGAACACACTGTTGTTTTGAAAAAATACACAAGATTTCAGATTCCTATTGCACCAGAATATACTTAATACTTTAGGGTTACATCTCATAGAGGTATATGTATACAAACATTTTTTCAATGCTAATTGTTTTGCAACAGTAAAACGATTATTATTATTTGTTGGATGTTTGTTACTAAAGTCGGGGGAAATATTGAATAAATATTCTAATTTGTGTACAGTGTTAAGTTTTGTATTTTTTGTGCCAGGACAGACTCTTTTCCAATCATTTAAGCCTTTTATCTTTACAAACTATCTTTAAAACTTAGTTCCTTGAACCCTATCACACCCTGGTTCTCTTAAATAGGCCTCCACAAATAATTAAAAATAATTTCATAAGGAAAAACCAATGTTATTGTTGTGTAGAAGCGGCTGATACAGAAGATCCACAACATGGGAGGCAGTATCCGCAGCGAGATGAACAGTAAGGTGACGCATCTAGTGGCTCAGCGCTGTGGTGGCTCCAAGTACCAGTACGCCATGACGTTCCGTGTGCCCATCGTGGCAGCCACCTGGGTACACGACGCATGGGCAATGAGATCGCAACCAGAGTATTCTGCTGCTGATTCCAGTGTCATCGTAAGTTTTGGTTCTCATTCAATATTTTATTTAAATAACAGTTTAGCCGCCATCTAGTATTCAACCTACTTTTAGCGAATTTCCCATATAGGGAATAAGCTATTACCGTAGTACTCATGGTAAGACCTGGACGCGGGACCGATTTTTTTTTTCGTTTTGAGGTCCCTAGAGGCCAAAAACACCATCCGTTCAAATTCATATATATATATATATATTTATATATTTATATATATATATATATATGTGTCCGTCAGCACGATAACTCGAGCAAAAATGATCCGATTTGGATGAAATTTGGTACAAACGTGTAAACGTACGTTTATTCGAACGAGTTCGCGATCCAGCATGATCGGACCATGGGAACGGGGGATTTTATGGGGTAAAAATAGGTTTTTCCCATTTTTGACCCAAAAAACATAAAATTTAGCAATTTCTTTCCAAACCATACTGTAGAGCTTAAAAAAACAAATAATTTAGTATATTGAAGCGTTATTATGCGCCTAATAGTTACAGGGAAAATTCCAAAAAATTGTAAATTTAAAATTCCCATGTTATTCTTATGGAGAATAAGTAAACTGTTGTAGTTTGCTTGTTTGTGAACATATTTTGATCAAATTTGGAAAATGTTTTTATTTCTCACTACCTATTCACATTTTACAAAAAAAAAGTTTTACCCTCCCTGATGCAGCAAACCTAAGTACTTGTTAAACTAATTCTATTTAAATCAAGAATAAATGTTATATTTTTAAGTAGACATTTCAGTGTAAATCCAATCAGTCAAATGGAAATTCGCTTAGTCTGCAGGTTTGCTGCGGCGGGGGTATTACCATATTTTGCGTCTTCCATGGTTTTGACATGGGTGATAAGAGTTTGTTTTTGTTTTAGGCTAAATACATCTGATAGTTGTTAATTATTATTTCAGAGGTATGGGTACTGTATTCATCAGTTTGGACTAAGTTAAATTGCTTTTCTATTCCACTGTATTAAAAAGTTTTATCAATTCAATATAAAGGAAAAAAAAAAAAATTAAGTGGAATTCTACAACCAAATATATATTTCTCAAACTACAATAAAACGAGTTCTTGCTCAGCTCTCAGTTATGTAGGCCTATATAGCAAATAGCCAAAATTCAACATTTAAATAATTTAATAGTGACTTGAGATTCAATTGAGTCAGTAATTGGAATTTTTTTACTTAAGGAAAATTTATTTTATTTTAATAAATTGTTTGTTTTTGTTGTTGTTAATATTAAAACATTTTATTGCTTGACTGAAACAGAGATAATCCCTTGTTCTCCACCCCTGTTTTAGACCTGTCACAAACTGAAGCCTTTCCAAGGTGCAAGAGTGTGCTTCCTGGGGTTCCCAGAGGACGAGCAGAAGCACATGGCTGAAGTACTCGTCCAGAACGGGGGAACATTGACGGACCACGAAGACGCAATGTGCAGTCACATGGTAAATCTGATCATTTTGTTTTCAAGTCTATCTTGTTGAGTTTTAGTGGTTCACTTTGACAATTTGAACACATTTTTTGTATTTGGCAATAATGTTGAAAATGTACACAGTTTTGATAGCTTGGCCTGATTTTCAAATTTGATTCCACAATGTTTTGTTTAGTTTTTATTAATTTTAGATCTACACATGACAGTTTTGTTATATTAAAAAAGGTTTTGCAAACGAGCGTTTTTTTGTAAAATGTGAATAGTTTCCGTTGTAATGTTTGGTTTCCTTGCTAGTGAACCACCGGCATTTCCCCATGCATGACAGTGACATTTGAGTTAATTTTATTTCTACAGAATGTTATTTTTATTTAACAGTTTTAGCTTTTCGTCAAGGTCTTTCTTTTACAATGTTAAATCTTAATTCTTGAACTTGCAACTGTCTAAAAATCATAGTAAAATTTTCAGAAGTGTTAACGTTGGGATGGATACAATAATTATCTGAGTTCACAAGAAGTGTGTCAGGCGTTGTAGCCTTAATTGTACTAAAATTATGGCTCTCCTCTTTATGTAACATGTAAAATATTTTAATTCCCAAAAGAATACCATGGAATGTTGTGACTTGTAGAAGAAAGGCCTAGACGATGCCATAGTTAGCCTGACTAATGTACACCATGCTTGCTTCCTACCAGGTTCTGGATAGTGCCGTAACGTATGACTTGATCAAAGCAGGAGCATGGGTGCCTCAAAGCCCACCCCCCTGCACCCCTCTCCCCTCCACATCCACTCCTTGTAGCGAGGCTATGGACATATCCCCGACCAAGTCCGAGGCTATCTCGGCCATGGATATCTCCCCCGATCATCCGTTCCACAAAGAAATCGCCCAGGCTAAAATCGAACTGATGAAAACTTCCAGCGAAAAGATCGGAAGAAGATTGTCCCTCACGCCAACTTCTCCGGGTTACAATTCTCCTTTTTCGAATCGTAAGAACAAAACGGATTTGACACCCATCAAGGAATCTTCCCCGCTTACGATTTCGCCCAATAAAATTTGTGCAAAAAAGGAACTTGACTTTTCCGACAATGACGAATGCGCCTCCCCCAAGTTTGATGCGAAAAGGCGGAAAACGATGAGTCCTTCTGAGTTGAATCAAAATCGGAAATTTAAAAAGTCCCCGAGTCAAGGGTTTAAAAAGTTTGCTCATTCTTCTCTGCGGAAGTCGTTCAAAATGAAGACGCACACGTTGGCTAGGTGGATCTCTAGCAGTGATGTTTGTATGAAAGCCTCTCCTAGAGTGAATGACAAGTCCATGCCTCCCCCACCCCCTCCTACCCCTCTCCTAGCCTCATCCCCTTCTCTGGGAAACATCACTGGACAAGAGGAGTCTCACGGCATGCCTATGGTACTTATCTTGAGTTTGCTATCTCACAACGTTCATTTCATCCCACAGATCAAGGTTTTCTGTTCAACACTGTTATAATGTATGCACACTTGGAGTTTTTATCTTTTTATTTCCAAGTGTTCCAATATGTTGAAATTTACTGATAAAGAAAACCTTGGTCTGTAGAAAGCACATTAATGTCTCATGCTAACCATCATTTATCATATTTTAATATCATAAAATGTTCATATTCATTTTGTAATAAATCCTGTCACTACCTTGATGGGTTACCAGGTCTTGTTATAGGACCAATAATAACTTGTCTTGGGAATGTAATATTTTTTGGGAAAAGTTGGAATTTGGTTGATTGTCTTTCATAAAGTGAAATGCCTCGATATGAAGGTTGTTACTAAATCCTAATGAAAATCTTACAAACTAAATTAGTTTATAGTATCAGTGGAATTTTCTAATCTACTGTGATATTCGTATAAAGCTAGACTGGTTTCGAAAGTTTGCTATGTACTGACTGAGTCATGCATTGTTGATATGATTAAGAAATACATATTTAGTCATATTTTAGTCAGCATGTTGTCATTGTTTCCAACTAATGCGGATTAGAATCTACAACCTACTGTTAAGTTCAATGCACTGGATTATGGGAAAACTAACTTCCTTAAGTTTAAAATTATCACAACTTTTTAATTAAAACATTTTCTGCTTTGGTGTGGGGTTTAAAAGTTTATAGTGTAATGCAGTGTGCAAATCAAATTTGATTTTGAAATTTAACTTCATAGTTTTCATTGAAAAGTAGTGATTATCAAATAAAAATACAATTTGAGTTATATTAATTCGTTAGTAAAGTTACTTATAAAAATGGTTTTCTGCTTTCAAGGAAGAGGAAACTTGATCTAACTGGTTAGTGTGAATGTCATGTTGTTCGTTAATTGTTCAGTAATTGAATGTTACTTGTTTGTTCCTTAATTGTTTTTCTTATACAATTTGCCTAAATTTGTAACAGAATAGGCCTAGTAGTTGGAAAGTCAATTTTTCAATATTATTTTTTATAATTGTGGTAGTGAGTTATTTTTAGTTCATGTAATTGTAAACAGTTTGGTGAAATATTTTACAAATTAGGAATTGTTATTTGATCAATTCATGTAAACTTGCTCTTTGGGTAGTACATTCAAAAGTTCAGAAATACTTTTAACTTTTCATGTTAAAACGCAAATTTTGCCAATTAAAAATTGTTAATTGGTAACATTTTAGAAATATAATACAAACAATATTTTAACTGTGAATTATTGGTATTTATTTAATAATTTAAAGTAGGTTAGCTTGAGACGAAAAGTTTACTCTTATTTGCTGGTTTGTAGAGGAATGTTACTTTATTCTAAAAACTAACACTATGTTTGGTTTTGCACTATGTATTTTGTTAACTGTGGTAGCCTTCTAAAGCTCGTTGGTAACATAGTGGTGACAGCTTTTCGTTGTTTACTATCTATTGCACTTATTTCCTACAATGTACTCTTATCAATTCTTAAATTTTTAATTAAATAACTCAGGTTATTTTTAATTATTTGGTAACGGTTTAGAGTCTGTGAAAATTAGAGTCGAAGGGCTAGTAGATACACAAATAGATCACAAAACACGACATTGATGTTTCAAGGGGGGAAACAAATAATGGTGCTAAACTAAACACGTATTTTTTGTGTGTTTTTTTTTAGTGATTAACAGCTGTTGATACCAACAATGGAAAGAGCATGTTTTGAGTTTGTTTTGATGTGGTGCATTTTGTGTTGGCTACTTCATAAACTGTGGCGGACTTGTTTATTAAATACTACAAATTTGTTTTGTGTATTGGTGTTTGCTCAAACTGGAGCTGTCAAATGAAACGTCCGAGGATACTTCAGAAAGAATTCTAGATGTTACTGAATATGTTGGGTGTGGACATTTGCACATGACGGATCCAGTTTGAGTGAACCGATACACAAAAACACCTTTTAGCGAATTTCCCATATAAGGAATAAGCTATTACCGTATTACTCATGGTAAGACCTGGACCCGGGACCGATTTACTTTTTCATTTTGATGTCCCCAGAGGCCAAAAACACCATCCGTTCAAATTCATATATATATATATATATATTTATTTATATATGTGTCCGTTAGCGCAATAACTCGAGCAAAAACGATCCGATTTTGATGAAATTTGGTACAAACGTGTAAACCTACGTTTATTCGAACGAGTTCGCGAACCAGCATGATCGGACCATGGGAACGGGGGTTTATGGGGGTTTTATGGGGTAAAAATGGGTTTTTCCCACTTTTGACTCAAAAAACATAAAATTTTGCAATTTCTTTCCAAACTATTTTGTAGAGCTTAAAAAAACAAATAATTTAGTATATAAAGCGTTATAATGCACCTTATGGTTACGGAGAAAATTTCAAAAAATTGTAAATTTAAAATTCCCATGTTATTCTTATGGAGAATAAGTAAACTGTTGTAGTTTGCTTGTTTATTAACATTTTTTGCCCAAATTTAGAAAATGTTTTTATTTCTTACTAACTATTAACATTTTACATAAAAAACACTTTTACCCTCCCTGTTGCAGCAAACCTAAGTATGTGTTAAACTGATTCTATTTAAATAGGGAATAAATGTGATATTTTTAAGGAGACATTTTAGTGTAAATCCAATAAGGCAAATGGAAATTCGCTTAGTCTGCAGGTTTGCTGCGGAGGGGGGAATTTTGCTATGTGATAGGCATTTAATAAACAAGGCTGTCACAGTTAATGAAGTAGTACCATAGATAAAACATAGTCCCCTAGTAGATTTCCAATCCTTATAGAACAGCTGAAGCCAATTTTATTGTTAGTTCTGTCCGGTTTTCTGTAGATATCGGGTTTTGTTTACAATTTGTTTCTATTATTTTAGGGCTGGTTTCTCATTATTTGTGTCTCACTGTTTGGTTATTTAGACTTGCATAACTTATATATCTAGTGAACGAGTTATTGTTTATGATTTGATAGTTTTATTTGGTTAAACGAGGTTTTAAATTACTGAAATAACAAGAAACAAATTGCAAACAAACAACATCTACAGAAAACCGGACAGATCTAACAATAAAATTGGCTTCAGCTGTTCCATAAGGATGGGAAATCTACTAAGGGACTATGTTGTTGTTGTATTAATAGTCAAAGATTTTATCTATGGTAGTTAAACCCCAATATTTTAAAAACTCGGCGTAAACACAAAACATCAGTGGTATGTTTAGTGATCTATTTGTATATTAGCCCCTAGCCTGTAATGTTCTCAGGTATGGTTGAACATTACCTTTTCAACATAATTCCTTATCAGTCACTTGGGCTGATTTTCTGATATAATTAGAAGATATATAGGTACTTTTACTGTCAATAATTGCCTGTCATGATAACAGGTAGTTGACATTCCAGTCCACAGGCTAGGTGTGATGTTAGATTACGGGGTCAGGACCGTGTGCCAGTTGGCTGGCTGCCCTCAGGGCTGTTCGGTGATTTTGCCTTTGTCTTAAATGATTTATCAACTATTATCTACTATTTAACCACAAAAACACTCTTACTATCGTTTAGCCGTTTAAAAATAGCAATCAGCAATTTTTTAAATCCTTGTGATTAATTTTTCTATTAGTCATTTTATGTTGAAAATTAAAAAATACTTAGGACAGAATTTTGAATATATAATTTTGAACAAGATTTTGGTTATGTGTTAAGTATATTTTACAGACTCTGAAATAGCGCTTTAAATTCAGTTTCTCTTTATTTTCAAACCAAACTTTTGTAAATGTTAATTTTATTAATATGTAGATATGCATGTAATGGTGCACTGTATTCTTGCCATATAAGGTTCAAAGATTCGTTTTTAACCTGAAATCCAAAGTATGTTGATTTTATTTTTTTATGACTGTGAGGTACTTCTTTTAAACTCTTCTTTACCTGTCTGTAGTTGCTTTTAAAAGCTTAATTGAAGTAGAAGTTACATAATTCAGCCATTAATAGCTTAAACGCTCCAGTAATCTGGCTTGATCTCATCTATGAAAAAATTGCTTTAAAAAATTTAGGGTATTTAATTTCATATTTAAGTACAGTATAATACATTACACTGTACTGCAATATGAAATGACACACATTCAGTACTATACACTACGTATTATTGTATTGTATGTACGGTAATTAATCATACTCAATACCACAAACCACCACTTCGGTACCAGTAGGTGACAACAAATCGAGGAACAAAACACAGAGTGATAAAAAAAATTAAAATTTGTGAAGTATTTTATTTTTAGACTGTTCCAGTACAGGCAAATCTTAATGAAAAAATCTTGGAAATGTAAATATGTAAAACAATTAAGTAAATAATTTTTTATCAATGAGATAGTGCTTTACGCAAGGATTGCTTTGGCAAAGAAAATCAAATACATCTTATCTCTTTATGATAGGATAATGTGAGTACTGAAAATACACCAAATGTTTGGTACTTTGTCTGTTTTAATGATCACTAGGTAAATTATTTATTTAGACACCACCATTTCATTATTAAAATTGTTTTTGTTCCAGTTAAACTATTTTTTAAATTGTGGAACATGAGACTGTAATAGTTGTGCATCTTGGGTCTTTTTGTGCTGTGAATAGCACTCTATTCTTTGAGTCCGGAACTGTTATTTAAGAATTTGCACACCTTTTAAGGTACAAAGTACAATCTATTTTGTTCATTTTTCAGCATTTCATAATTTTTGTTCTTAAGTTTGTTTTTGCTTTTCTGTCCAGCTTTTGATCTTTTTTTTTATATTTATTGAAACGAAACCCTTTATTCCTTAACTGCTTTATGACTGGAGATAAGAAAATCCTTAGGCCTTTTATAAGTACTGATTAATTTAATGACTGCACTTTAAATTTTTATTATAGGACTTAAACGAGTAACCTTAAATCTGATCAATTGATGTTTTTGAAATTTAATTTATTTATTAAAATAGAGCTTAGATTTATAAAATCCATGTACAAGTAGGTTAAAAGAAACTTGTGTTAGAAATGCTTATGTGTGTTGCTAGATCCGCAAAAAATCTTCTGTCTACTTACTTTTGCTTACAATCTTTTTGTTGTTAAATGTAACTTGTGTAACGTCTGATATTTTCTAGCCTACTTTGTTGGTATTCTAGCTCTACTAGTAACTGATTTTAACTAAAGCTTTAAGCTATGATTGTGCATAGTGTCTACAACATATTTGTACACACTCAGGAGTAAAGAGTTAATTGTAGTCGGTTGTATATCCTGACATAATCAAACAATGTTTGTAAATGACAGGTCGTAGACGAGTCTACAGTCAGTAAACTCCCAGATCAGGCTCCCCAGCATGCTTCCATAGTCAAGGCCGAGTGGTTCTGGGCATCGGTGCAGAATGAGGGCTGCGTCGATGAGAAAGACTACCTCTTCGAAGATGTGAGTACTAACGTTCATACTGTTTTGGGTTATTTTCAAATTTTTTTTTTAAACATGATGTATAATAGATAGTTCACTTGTCCACTAGGATTAGGCTTACTATAAGTCTCAATTTTTACCTGGATCATAAAAAGGTCACAGATTTTAATTTGAATGCCTTCAGTTTTTCCTCCACTGAAAATTAACATAGGGGCCTACGTTCAAGTGGATGTGGGTTATTTGTATTTTGTCGATTGTGTCTATAATGAAACCACTCAGTACGAAATAGTACAATAATTTATACATTTTAATAAATATTTTTGTTAGAGGTAAGTGAGACTGAAATTTACCAACTAGCCTAGCTTTTGGAAAAGCTTGAGCCAGCTGAACTTTTGTACATGTTGTATCTATAAAATAATGCGGTCTAGTTAGGCCTAGAGTCGTCTGGTCATGAATTTATACAATAAAACAAGGAAACGAATATATGTAAAAATTTGTTTGATATCCTTTTAATTAAATTACACCGGCCTTGTTCCATCTTCTTTTCCCCAACTGTATCCTTATCCCCCACTCCTCTGTCCTGGGCAGAACACAGAGGTAACCTGGGTGTGTGCACAGTACCTGGAGAGTCTGGTGAGTCCGTCGCGTCGCACAACTCCCCTGGCTCCAACGTCACGAGCTCGCAAGCGCAAACGGCTGCAGGAGGCAGTGGCCAGGCTAGCTAGTGGCGCTGGCGTGTCACCGGCCACCAACAAGCGGAGGAGCTCAGTCAGCGACGCAGGGCTGCTCAGTGTTAGCGGCAGCTTCCTCGACTGCACCAATAGTCCGGCCACTAACCTCTCCGATGGTGAGTTGAGAAACGTTTTTCGTTAAACTGTTGTCTGGCCTATTTGGCCATTGTGTATTGATGAACTCTTTCTCATCATTAATTTCTTTGATTATTGATAGAAGTAAGATTTCCATTACCATTTTGAGGCTGTCACCAGTTTTAGTGTGTAAATTAACTAAGTTGAATTGAACCGCTCACAGAGATGTAACTGTGATGTAATTTTCAATTTTCTGATTTATAACTGACCGAAACTGAAAGGATAACTTATTAGAATTGTGAAATCAATTTATACTTATTGTGATAGTCTTAATAAACAGTCCTTGCTTAAGTTTTAGAACAAATGGATAGCAGCTAGCTTACTGGTTGAAAAATTCCAGGTAGTACACACAGAAATCACTCAATATTGTGCACCCTGTGAGACTTTGTAAAATGTAGGCAAGTCCCACAAGAGATAAAGTGTTATGTGTTTTCTGTTTCTTCTGTCTATACTGCAAGCTAGCTAGCTCTCATAATAAATATCAGAATCCCTAGTTATTGTGATTGCTGATCCGCTCACAGTAAAGATTTGTTGTGTTCAGTAGGAGATGCAGAACCTACCAAGGTAGAGACTCCGCTCAAGAACCTCAGCCCTAGACACCAGGTGTTCCTGGAACTGGTCCAGACAGAGTTCAACTATGTCAACACCCTCAAAACTATCATGACGGTAAGTCTACTTCAGATTGGTAACATTAGTTCAGTAAGATAAGCTTATAACAACGTAATAGGGATGGTCAAGTCTCAAAATTTCGGGAAATTTTCGGGAAATTTTTAATCTCGTTACACGAGACGAGATTACTTTTTGGCCGAGATTTTTATCGAGACAAGAATAAAGAAAAAAAAAAAAAAAAAAAATTAAAAACGCCTGCAGAAAGTCAATGCAATACCCGCAATACAGGAGCGTGTTGTAGTTGCGTTTCCTTTTCGAAGGCGTTCTTATTTAATTAATTCTTTTAATGTAAATATTACTTTAATTCTTTTAATGTGAATATTACTTTAATAACATTTGAGAAGTTTTGTTAAGTGTAAGCAGTGTGAGGAATGTTTTATTACTATAAAAAAAGTCAAAACAAGTAACTATTTTATAAAAATTAATATTGCTTTTATTTTATGATTTATTTTATTTTAGGATAAGTTGAACTCTATCCTAACTGATTTCACCATGTTTCCTAATCGTAGGCATTTTTAATAAGTTAGGCGTGATTAATAAAAAAATGTTATGCTGATGTTATTTAATGAAAGATTTAAATATTCTTGCCTATTATCATTATTTTAGTATTTAAACAGTCATCTAACAATGTTACAAAATCAGGTAAAAATTTCGAACGTGCATTTCCCGTTGTGTATGAGAAGAGAAATCTCGTCTCGAAATTTTATGAGAAATAAAAAATCTCGTCACGTCTCGTCTCGAACTAAAAATCCAATCTCGTCCATCCCTACAACGTAAATAAACATAGAACCTAAGTATTGTATTGTTTGGTCGTTAGTTGTTAGTTAGTGGTCACAATATTTACATAATTACATTTAAGCCAACAAGAATGTGTTGATAATGAACAACAATCAATAATACCAATGCTGTTAAATATTCTCAATATTGAAGTTTTTTGTGAGAAAATTGTACTTCTGATATTTTTGACTCCTCCGCTCATGAGGTACTTTATCCCTACAAAGAATGTATTTAACACTAATACCGAAACCCCTGTCTGACAGGCCCACGGGAATTTTCAAAAATGCATATTGGCAACACTGTTTACTTGGTAGATTCCATTCCCCCAATACCTTCCCCCCCTTTTCCTCCCCTACCTATTGATATATCGTTTGTTCATTTTGCATGGGTGCCGTGACCTTGACAGGTCGTCTGTTCATAACATGTCCGTCTCAGAAGCCCAACGTTAGTGTATTTTAAAGCGGGGTCTCACAGACCGAGGGTTTCGGTTTGTGTTTTTCTAAGCAAAGTCCATTATTTTTCAAATGGGGTCTCACAGACCGGGTATTTCGGTTAACGTCAGCCTATGTGGGGTTTCGGTATTAGTGTTAAAATGGTTAAATCTGTGTCTAACTAACAATGAATTGAGACTGATGTGTTGTTGACAGCTGTACAAGGAACCACTGGAACAGATGTGTGAGACGCCCGACCAGCTGTTGAGTCCTACAGAGGTGAAGATCATCTTTGGCCATCTGCCGCCCATCTATGAGACTCACTGTCGCATGCTGGAGCAACTACGTCATGCTGCTAGTCACTGGACGGAGGACACGAGCATCGGCAACATCATACTCAACTTTGTAAGTTGTAACAGGAGTTGGCTAACTGTAATAGGCATATAAGGCTTGTCACGACAAATTGTCAATACTGTTCCTCTAACCTAACTCCTTCACTAAGTTATACAGTACGAGTACAGTATGGTTGTATAGAAGCGTTTTGGATGCAGCTAAACCCATAGATCATATTAACTACAAACAATTTATTTTCCTTCAAAGCTTTACTCTTTTACTTAGCTCCAAAACTAAACACTAATCCCTATGATTCAACTTATTGTAGAATATGTCATAATATGTCTTAATATTTATTAGTCACTCAACAAATACAACAGACATTGTTGAGTTTAATGGTCTAACTGAATAACTAAACATATAAAGAACTTTTTGACTGAAAGCCCCTTTTGACCAAAACTTCTCCAATCAACACTTAATGTAAGGGCCTTTGCCAAATTACATGTCACCAGTACTCGCCTAACCTTTCCTTGGTTCATTGGGTACCCTGACCTGGCTGACTGTCCCTTTTCCCAACCTCAGATAGGTAGTCTAAAACGCTTCCAGCAGGCCTCCTAGCTTGTAAAGACTAACCTTCATTGCATATATACAACTGTGCTAATGTCAAATCATATCGCAATATTGAACTACAGTAGACACACTATTCACAAGTAGATTAACCACCATCGCAAAAAAAATCAAAAATATACTATACACATTAAATGTACCTTATACGGTAACGATCAAGGTGTTAAGTGTGAAAATTTCCAACATCTCACAGGCAGACATCTTCACCGACCACCGATGAGTTACATCCTTTCCAACAGCACAGCAGATTCAATTAGTTACATTTTGTGTGTATATTAATACTAGGCCTTTACATAGGCTCCTCAATATCATTTGCTTCCTAAATATATGCATGTAAAACAAAGTTACAAGGTATATACAGTAGAACCCCTCATATCCGGCCTTGGTTTTACCGGTCCTCTGTTTATCCGGCCCCTTCCAGGAAGCCAATATCAAAATTTTTTCTCACAGCTTACAGACGTTTAGATGCAGCCACTAGTCTTTGTGACTGCTCAAGTCATAAAATAAATTGTTCTCATTATTTATCTGTTTGTTTATACATTTATTTGCTGAGTCACTATACTCAGTTGAGCTAGTAGGCCTAACCTCTGATCAGTTGGTTGATTATTTCCAAAGTGGGGTTAGTACAGTACAATACGAGTACATTAATTTTTGTATTTCACAAAATGGTTAAGAATGTTGAGTAGAAATGCATGTACCATTTAAGTCCTAATGATCTTTAAGTACAATTTATTGTAATTTTTACCTCCATTTAATAGGTTTTGTTACCTGGAATCATAATATTTGTACATTCATTACTTAATGACTATAACCTACAAATATTTTTTTTCTTTTTACAAACATGTTTATTTTTCTAAAAATGATCCCAGAACAGAATGAAATTATACTTTTGATTGCATATATTGATTGATTACCTATATATTAGGTATGAATTATCATTTTCATAGTAGGTTGGTTTATCCGGCCAAATCGTTATCCGGTCAGGGGCTTGGTCCCGTGGTGGCCGGATATGAGGGGTTCTACTGTACATTACATTTTTAATTGTTTCCTTATTAACTATATGTGTATTAGTATTAGTTATTTCCCGGGATTTTGAGGTTAGGTTTGCGTTATCCGCAATCTTGATTATCCAATATCACTCAGCCACTCATTGTCGTGGATGGGAGTCTACTTTACAGCCCTAAAGCAACTTGTTTGTCTGCAGTCGGGAGACCTAGTGAAGGCGTACCCTCCGTACGTCAACTTCTACGAGACCACCAGAGAGATGTTGCTGAGATGTGACCAGACCATGCCCAGGTTCCACGCCTTCCTCAAGATAGGCCAGACCAAGCCAGAGTGTGGCCGGCAGAGTCTACTGGATCTGCTGATACGACCAGTGCAGCGACTGCCCAGCATCAACCTGCTGCTCAATGGTAAACATAAATTAGTGAACTAGAAGAAATAATTGTGTGATTGTATGGTGTTAGACTGGTATTTGAGCTTGATTTCTATAACTTGAGGTGCTAGAGGTAGAGTCTAGATTGTTCAACCTAACCAGCTGCTGGAAAATTGGATACAGTAGACTCCCTCTAATCCGGACTCCTCGGGACCGAGGCCAGTAAGTTATAATAAGTAATTTTCAAAGAAACACTCTTATATATATTATTACAGAGGAATTAAAACGTTAAAATTATAATTAAATATTAAGTTTGCTCACGTTTAAGAACAAAGACACAACAGAGCAAATGCCGTACTGTCACTAGCCAGAGCCAGTCGTCTACTGACAAAACAAAAGCCGTGACGCAACAGTGCAAAGAAAACGAAGTCAAAAGAAAGACTATTTATCCAGAGGTACCAGTTTAATTATTTATTGTTTATTCCATACCTAGTTTAAAATATATTTTAGTATTTTATTTACATAATAAATTATAAACAAAAGAAATATCTGATATAGTGTACAGATCTGTATCTTGTTCTTTTATTTTCCTGTGTCCTTTTTGTCATTCAGTAACAAAACAAAACAACACTTCTGATCGTCTGGTTCGGCATTGTATGGTCACCATTTAATTTTTTTTAAGTATCAAGTATCAGCAAGTCTACAAAGAGGTTAGGCCTAAATATTTTATAATTTTATGAAAGTTTTTATCAGTAAAATTATGTTTTTCTTAAGTTAGATTGAGTTTCAAAAAAGATATTTCTAAGATCTAATACAATATTTACAAGACACAAACTACCATGAATTCTTTGGAAATTATCTGTAACAGTTTTATATTTTTGAATAAAGAAAATATATCTTTTTGTCTCTACTTCCTTGTTTCGTTACTTGCATTTTGTCAGCAATTGGAACAATCGGGTGGTGTAATAGGGGTGGGGGAGGGGGAGGGTCTATGACCTTGAGTGTCCCCGGGCCTGGCTCTGGTTGTGTAAGAGGGGCGGGGAGGGAAGGGGGAGGGTCTGTAACCTTGAGTGTCCCCGGGCCCGGCTGTGAGAGTGATTCATGGTTTTTTGTTTACATTCTACTACCCTTCCCCCTTCCTTCCGAGAAAAAGACCCTACAGTTTCAAAAACATCGACTTACAGTATAAAAACATTGAGTTGTGTTGCTAATTAGGACACTATAATGTCTCTGCTGTCTGCTTATGTTGCCAAATTAGCATTTAACTTTCTTTTCTCTTGATTTAATATAATTTTCTATATATTAAGAGTTCCTTTTCAGGTACCTAATAATTGTGATATTGTTTGACTTGAGTTTATGGATTTTTAATTCTTTTCATTTATTAGCTAAAATCAGTTGTTTTAGGATTTTAATCTCTTGCAATACCGTAGGTCTATAACTGTGTATGACATGATATATGCAATTTTTACAGTCTTTACTATAACTAACTATACCATAAACAATGTATGTGTGTTATTTACTGTTTTAGAGTTTTTAAAGTGAATTAGTTTACACACAATCTTTTCTTCAATGAGTTCTCCACTTGTCATGTTGCTTAGTCTATTACTATTTTAGGCCCTATAAAAAATAATTCCTATGTAAAGCTGTAGGCCTAGTAATGCCAATAATAAATAATTCTTTATTTATGATGATGTAACTAATAATGCTATTGTAAGTGTGAGGTTTTTATACTTAGGAGGTTAGGAGGCAGGGAATGAATGATTCATATTGCTAGGTGGAAACATAGAATTTTTATTTTCTTCTTGCTTGCAGTCTTTAAGCCAGTCCACAGGCCCTAAACTTGAGATAAGGTTAATTGATTTGTTTATGATCCTTTTATATTAAGTTCCATTACAAACTTGTTGTAATATAGCTGTTTAGATATTTCAACAGTTATGAAAATGGGAAAGAATGGCTTGATAAAAAAAATTATTTTCTTCTTTCTTGCAGTTGAGGCAACTCCTAAGCTGTAAATAAGTTATGAACATGAAATAATATACATAAATACAACCGTTTTTCATATGTTATTTTTAAGTAATATTATAAACACAGATAGGAGTTAAAAAAAGAAAAAAAATCTGGTAATTAATAATTTTTGGCCCGACCCGATTTTGGCCCGAAACCCGAGGATCAAAATTATTGGCCCGACCCGACCCGACCCGAACCAAAAAAGTCTGACCCGCAGACCCCTACCAAAAACTCGTTAAAACGCACCATTTAAATGCATACTGTATACAGTATTTGATCTAAATTTAAGTAGAGCATTGTATTTAGCCACGTGATCACTCTCAAATCTTCCCCACAAGAACAGTCGTTTCAGTTCTGCCCACTTCCTGCCAATCTAGTCCAGTTAAACTGATGTGCTGATAAAAATTGTCTGGTTAAAGAGATGTCAATTGTGCCGATCTTAGTCCGGTTAAAAGGTGTCCGGATAAGAGGGAGTCTACTGTAAGTGAAAAGAGGTTGTCTGCCTCTTTTAAACTTGCATTTGCCTAACTATATCGCTTGTCCAGCTATAAGATCTAGTCATGTCACAGAATCCAGTGCACAAAAGGATACGACCCGATGTACCAATTAAATTGTGTACATGTAAGTTACTTTGTTGAAAATATACTTGACTGTATTGAATTAGATGTGATAAAAGAAGTTACACATTCTTAATGTTTGTTGGCAGACATATTGAAACATACAAACAAAAGCAACCCAGACCACAGTGCCTTGCAAGCAGCAGCCGCGTCTATTCGTGAGGTCACCACTCATATCAACGAGGACAAGAGACGCACGGAAGGCCAGATGGTTATGTTTGACATCTTCAACGACATTGAAAACTGTCCGGTGAGTACACTGTAGCTTTTTATCTGTTTGATCTTTGACACAGAAATTGTGTGTTTTAAATTTGAAGTTGGACTCTCCTTTAATTTTATTTTTATTGCTTTACATCCGGTAACATTTCTCTTAACTGCCTACATGAGATTCCTTTTCAGATAACCTTAAAGGAGAGTTAAAATCAACTACTGAATCATGTAAAATACCTTGGAAAAACCCCCACAAAACATACAAAGATTTTTTTTATTAGTTTAAAATAGAAACCACAATTTGGAAAAAACTCTAAACCCCAATTTTTTAAATCAATCACTTTACCCCACAGATTTTTAAGATGACCTCACCCCAACCCCAACCCCCCCCCCCCCCTAGGACCACAATTCCTTGGCCTCCTGTTTCCTCAGCAGGAAACTGTCCTCCAACACAAAAACCAACAGCTACACACAAAACTGACCCCCTTATCAAGTGCAAATGCCAACTTTAAAAAACAGCCTTCTGTAGGCCAGCACACCAAGTTACTGGTTAACAACACTTTCAGCTACTCACACACCATTGCCAATCTCTTCCTCTTCACAATATTTGATAAATTAAAAAAGCTGCATATATCACAGGTTTAGCTTTGCAATAATTTGTTGGTATCACTGAAGCTGTGCAAAGTGAATGTGTACAAATGCCTGTATCAATTAACTGTACTGTTGAATGATATTTGTCTCTTCTATACTATAGAACAACAGTACACATTATTTTACTCTTGAAAATATATTACTATTTAATTTCCTATGTGGTTCACAATAAAACTAGACCGGCTCATATACATTTTTATTTTATTACAGTGATAATGACAGCATTTTCCAGATTCTTAGAAAATGGTTGTTTAAACAACGTATGAAACTCATTGTGGATTTACTGACCTCTTTTTTCCCACAATAGACGGTTTATCCATAGTCATTTAAAAAGTATTAGTTGTGAATTGTTCTACTTACTGACATGGTAAACAAAGGTTGATACATACATATCCTCTCCTGTTCCGGTTATCTCCGGGTCTGGGTGACAAAGGTTGATGAAGTGAAAAAATAACCTGAATGTTACTGATTTTGCAGCCCCACCTAGTGTCGTCCCATCGCAGTTTCATCACACGTTGTGACATCACGGAGCTCAGTGATGGTCTCAGCGGACGCGGCGATGCACTTGCGTTCTTCCTCTTCTCTGACATAGTGGAGGTGAAGTAGTCAGTTTGGCTTTAGATAGAACATTATGTTAAGTTTTACAATTTGTATGTGTTTCTATATTCATAATAAGTTAATTCTTCAGTACTGGTAGTGAATGTGTTAGTCAGCAACATAGCTTTCTTATAAGATAAGCCTGAGTATAGTTATCCCAAATAATGTTCATTTAAGACTTGTTATCAATTTTTTTATTTCTTGTTCCTAGGTATGTAAAAAGCGTTCAAAAGCTTTCAACTCCCTCAAGAGTCCAAACACAGCCAAGTTGAATGGCCAAGACAAGACTCGCCCGGCTTCCTTCAAACACGTCCGACTGATGCCTCTCTCCCACATCAAGATGGTTATTGACATCACGGAGACTGAAGGTGATTGATTTACGATGGTTGTTTCAATTTACGATAGTTTTTTGATCTTAGAGATATATAGCGCAATGGTGGTTGGAAAATCGTTTCCTTTCTCTTACCTACCTACAATTTTAAAATACCTATTTTATGTTTTTCTAGGTACTAAAGTTGAACTTTACTTGTTCGTATTTGTTATTTCACAAAATGTTAATAATAATTTGTCAGTAGATCATGATCATTAGTGACAGCTTCAAACTGGTTTTCTAGAAGATATTAGCTTGCCAAAGTGTCAGCAGTTGAGTTTGCTTACCTTTGCATAAACCAATTAATACTGTCCAAATGCACAGCTAAAAATGTAATCTTTTTTTGTCTTATCAGCTTTGCCAATCCAATGAGAAACACATCTTTGGTTCTGTAATAGTCAGAGAAGTAATCTATTGTTGAAGGGTTTGAGCATTGAACTTCAGATGGCGAAGTCGACAATCGACATACCATTAATGTGGACCAGTTGTAGCCAATTTTTTACCAATCAAGAAAACTGTTGAATAAGCTGTTGAATAAGAGTGAGCTGAAGTCTAAATTAAATGTTCTCTTATTTTTTGTTACTTTAATTTGCATATATGATGTAAGAGATGATATAGATTATTTTACAAGTTATAAATGTCAACAGGGGGTGTTGTCACTTCAGTTAGAAGATTTCAAAATAAATCTATAGTTGAAAAAGTTGACATCGGCCCTATCTGTATGTTAGCTCAATTCACTCGACTACGCAGTTTTAACATCGGAATGGCATTTCTACTTCTCTCATTGGGCATATGGACTGTCCTACAGTGTTTTATAGTTTTGAAACTATTTGTTTCAATAACCTAATCACCTGTCTGATTAAGAGCTCTGTTCATAACAGTGAAGATAGCTCTTACTATATTCATAGCCTTAATTTTCTTCCCAGATTGTCACAACAAGTTTGCGTTGGTGGTGAAAAGTAACCAAGAGTTGAGAGAGAAGCGATACTCTTTCAGAATCACAGACGAGGGGACGGACAAGATGACGTTTCTGCGGACGTTGTGCCGTCAAATGGCCAACACACTTTGTAGGCCGGACGCGGTAAGACTCATTCAAGCCTATGTGTGGTAGCTTTTAGAACTGTTCAAAACTTCCTTGTGATTTCCAAATATCCTGTAAGTTTTTAGGCCATTATCGTCAATATTATTGCAGTGAGACAGGAACTCAATGGTTCTGTATTTTAACTGAATATGAGGAAGAATGGGTGTGGAAATTGAGTGATAACCCTGTTATTATTGACTAAGATTAGCTTTAGAAATAAGACCATTTTGTTAGAAGCCCAATGATCTAAAGCAGCTGACTCCAGTTTTGAACCTTCATAAAGCTATTGACTTTTTCAGGAGCAAACAGGCTATGTTCGGAAATAGACTAGCACCACAACCCTGTTTCTCAGTCCTACAAAGAGTTTCCCTTTTACCTAAAGGTTTTTCCATTTAACAACATTGAGTTTTTTGAGCTTTCTGGATAGGCTTCCACGGTCACTAATTGTAGATTTGAGTTCCCATAGGGTGTTGACCTTGTAATAAACAACGCAACAATACTGATGTTTCTACCTTGATTCTTGCTACGACAACTGTGCTGAAAATCATTGATTAAAAGCTACTAGAATTCTCTCAGGATTAAACCGGCAAGCATTATCACTGCATCGTTAAGCTATCTAACCATTCAGCTATTGTAAGTTAACCACAGCTAACTAAAATTGACTTTACATTTTGGTATTATTTATTTAATCTTTTACAGGAAAACTTCTTGGCCTCTTTGAATCAAGAGGAATTGGACATAGACACAAGTGATATTGGTGTGGGAACACTAAAAAGTAAAGCGGCAAAGTAAGTGTTTTATCACTAGTACCAACCTGAATTGTAAGAAATAAAAACATAGTTGCCGAGACGGTAAAATATTTAACGTTACTCTCTTGAGATTATTTTGTATCTTGTTTTTGTTAGATTTTCTTGTACTGTTTTTTATCTCCTGTCTTGTTTTTGTAGATTTGCGTCAAGGACTCGTATAAAGGTGGGACGAGCGTTCAGCTTCAACAAGACCCCTAACAAGCTGAAGAGGGCGATGAGCACAATGATGAGTCCGTTTGGCAGCACTAGTAACTTGACACCTGCCTCACAGTTAGCTCAGATGCGGCTGGCTAGTTGTAACAACCTCAATGTGAGTGGAATACTTTGTTTACCCTTTTTTTAACTGGGAATGCACGGACTAATATATTCTGTATATAATATGTTGATCATCGAAACAGGATTGCACTTGATTCAGGATTTTTTCCATCGTCATCAACCTCATGGCGTCAGGAGTGACATTTCTGCAACCACCGGAAATATCAGTGGTATGATATCTCCGCGATTTTGAAAGCTGTTCACGATAGTTCCGAACCCAGGAGAATAATGATATCTCCATGATCACAGGAGATCTTCACACTGGTGCCGTGACCTCGAGCCATGTTCAAGATGGCGCCATGACTGCAGAAGATTTTCTCAATGGTGTCATGATCACATAGATGACCCTGGGTTTCAAAACCATCGTGAAAATCTCCTGCCATTGCCAAGATATGATTCGTCACCCACAATACCAGCGACATCTTCCACAATTTGGGAGACGTCATCATTGTCACTTGCCACGTGGCAAAATCGCTGACGTTAAAAAATCCCAAATTTAATGTCATCTTTCCCGATGATCGGTAATGTGTTTTTCCTGAAAGTTTCACAAAATTTCATCCATCTCTACTACAAATACAAAAATTAATACTTTAATGAGTAAGTTAAATCATTGAACTATGTTTTATGTTTTACAACTACAAATGGTTCTAATAGACCTCACTACCACTGGTCTATTTCAGTACAGTAGAACATCATTAACTCAACACCCGGTAACTCAACCATCAACAGCTGACTGGGCGCACGCAAAAATAAGCAACTTTTCTGGAACATGTAGTGTTAATTTTAATTAAATTTATAATACTTGACATTTATTTGAAGATTATTACTCAATGTGTCAAAATAGTCTGTTATGTATTCATCTATAAAAACACATTAAAATTTTTAATGTTCTGGATAACTCTACAACCCAGAGTCCACAAACAAACATGACAATCTCTGGGTCCACAAATAATCAAGTTAGTGAGGTTTTACTGTATATCAAAGTAAGTTCTCAATTACAGTCAGTGTCAAGTGTAGTATGTACTTGTGTTTCAGGAGCTAGGATCAGCCACACCCCCTCCCCCTGCCGCTCCTCCTCTCTCAGTGCAGCCAACCCGACGAAACAAACACCCTTCTCTGTCTGTCGCGTCCCTGCGGCGCTTATGACACATCTATTGACCCACATTTTTGTAAGTATATTCTTTGTTTTCTGTTTGGCAATTTTTCAGCCTAATTTTTCAGCCTAGTACAACTATTTTGACTTAAGGTAAATTAACTTAATTTCTAATTAATTCTTAGTGAGTCGGTGGCTCAGTTGGTAGCGTCGCGGACTTCAGGCCCAAGGCAGCGATGTCGTGGGTTCGGATCCTGGTCACTGCCGAAAACATTTTATCAGTACAGTTCACCTTTGTACTGTACCGGCTCACTCCTTGCTTTGCTGTAAACGATCCACGGCGGTTAGTCTATGTGGACGGGCAAATGCAAGGTTTAAAGAGGCCGCCAACCTCTTTAAAAAAAAAAAATTATTTAAAATACTTAGCGTAGGAAAAGTCCTTTGTAACTTAATTAAAACCAAAATTTCTAGCTTTAAGTTAGCCAGGATGGTTTAGCAGATCTTTCAATTATAATATGTGTTCCAAACAACTCCGATTACAAAGCTCAAAACAGTTGAAAATCAATTAGGAAGATACATTATTTACAAAACAATTTTAAAAGTTAGTGAATGTATTATACAGGGTGTTTTTAAAAGAATGCCGGGATTTTAAACGGTCGTTGCGCGCGGACTATTGAAGATAATTAAACGATTTAAATGTCAAATTAAAGGGAAAAGAACAAAGTTTTTTTCTCATCCTTTGATACAATTCGGAATGATTTAATTATATTCAGAATTTCATATATCTTATATCAGGTTCAAGTTTCTTTATCATCAAGAAGATTTTAATTTAGTTTAATTTAGCAATGGTATTAACTCTGCGAACCACAGATTACGATTTGTGCCTTCTGTTGCGCCGTAAACGTCCTACTGGCAACTGGCGTCAAGCGTATGAGTCAGAATAGTGGCCTACCACCGCGCACCTGTTTTGCGCATGCCAATGTCAAAAATTCCTCCCTTGCTACACATGAAACAAAACTTAGTTATTTTAGCTTCAATTTGACGTATAAAACGTTTAGTTACCTTGAACCCCAAGCAATTGTTATTTAAAATCCCGGCATTCTTAAAAAACACCCTGTATTATGCCTCAATAGAAATTATAATGATTGTCTATTGATTCAAAATCCAACTGAATCTTCAAAATTGGCTCGTTGAAAATGTTGGGACTTAAACCTGTTTTTCTCTCAACATTTGAATAGTTTTTAAAGGAATCTTGCAATATTATCACAGACATTGCAAAGTTTACACTTACAAACATTCATGATGATTCTACAATTTGCATAGTAGGTTTGTGTTAAAGAGATTAATGCAGACATTTCCCATCTTGTCCGTTTATAACAATCACTCAAATACATCGACCTTCACTAAATGTGTCGTTACAATACATTGTTTGTTTCAGAAAGTGTGGGTTAGTCTCGGAATGTACATATGTATATTGGTCCGGCCGTCCTAGTTCTTGCTACTTCCACTATCTAGATCTGATCTAGTTCAAGGACAATACAACAATTAGGTGCTGTGTTTAACCGTTCCTGCCGATTGAGTGCTTTCTCGGTGCTTCTCTAAGAAGTTTATCGCAATACATGTTATTGTAAATAGTAGTTTAAAGTTGAAGAGTCCAGAAGTACGGAATGCAGTATTATAGTTGATAGGTGTCGATTTTCTGTCTAAAGTAAGGTTTGTGAGTTTTTGTTGTAAAAGTGGATACGTCCTGAGATTTAATGAAAAAGATTAACAGGTATTTGGATAGGAGTTGACTGGAAAAAAGTGCAAAACTAGTCTCCATTAAAACAACTTGATATTTAAACTACATAACTGTAGTTTTCATATTGATAATGTTTATGGTCATAATTCTTACAACTGCAGTCATTTTTTAGTTTTTTTATGTTTTTCAACCACTTTTACCTAAGGCATATGTTTTGTTTTCTGTTTGCAATGCAATTACAAATTAGTATTTCAATCTACCTCATTTATGTATGTTTCAAAGTATTTTTAACTTCTGGATGTTTTCAACTTTGACTAATATCTAGAATCTGAAACTTAGATGATGTTCTTTATTATGGTGTTATACAAGTTTGTGGTTTAATTTTTTTTACAACTTACAAAGGTGTTTGTATACAAAAATATATATTATTCAAAACTGTTTATCTGTTCAAGTTAATTTACCAAGTTCGTTAATTTTTTGTCCAATTGCTGAATAAAAAAGATTTTTTTGGTAATAATGATTTTAACAGTTTTGTCTATGTTTAGTTAGTTACTGCTCATAAATGATTGAAGACGGAAATCAAATTTCTGGAAAGAAATTTCTCAAGTATAGCCTTTAAGTAACCCAACATAGCCTAACTGATTAAAAATTAATTTCAAACTTATGGTGAAATTGCAAAGCCATTTTTAAAAAGTGTGAAAATAAAAACAATTCTTTTGAGTATTTTACACTGTAAGAATTCTTACTGAATTTTATTTAATTTAATAACCTTCCCTTTTGTTCAGGATATCTTTTATTTACCCTTCATAATTATTCACCATTTAACTATAAGATAGACCTCTGCGTAAGTCTCCTTTATTGCTTAGTGAAAAAGTAAATTTATAGGACCTCTGTTAGGCTATGATGGTTTATTTATAAAAGGCTATTTTTTTACAATTTGATTTCTTTTCTCATATTATTTCAATGAGTTTTATTTCTTCAGTTTCATTTTTAAAAGCCTACAGCAAAGCCCTAATCACAATATGAAGGCAAATAAGTCTAGTACTAAAACGGACAATATAAAACACAGTATTTTCTGTACTGTATCCAAAGCTATGTTGCTAGGTATAGTTTTTTACATAATATGCAACATAATTGACAATGTATATAAAATGCTACGGTTTTTAGTTTCTTAGTTGTGTAAATATTTAAGAACAACCCTTGCTCTCTTTTTAGCGAATTTACCATTCAGGGAAAATCAGCTATTTCTAATTATTTGAGTACAGTTATAGACTGTTATTACTGTATATTTTAATGACAATTGTTGTATTTTTAACCTTTTAACTGTGTATAGTAGTTTTAATAAGCTCTCTACTTCTTAATCAAGTAAGAATTATAAAAAATGTTATATATTACAAACCTGTTATTGAAAGTATATGTAGGTATATACTTTGACCACAAGTTGCTCTATGTTGAATATAATTTACTTATTATACCGGTAAAGATATTCTTGTTAATTTTAAGTCAAGTTTCTAGCTTTTTATGATAAAGGGGTTAGTCATTTTGTTTACAAATAATGTTAATGTGATTTCTATTTTTAAATTAGATTTGAGAGAAACTGAAACATCTTTTAGTATTCAGGTTATTTTCAATGTTTTTTTAGGTACTCTTGTGTTTTATTAACTACATTAGGTTAGGTTAGGTTAAGTAACCAAATTTTTAAATTAAAGTAATTGTATTTTTTATGTTTAAATAACCTAACCTAACCTATCCTGGTGTCGTGGGTATAACAGATAAAACCGGGTGTGTTCGGTGTAACAGAAAGTTACCTTTTTTTATCACATTTTTCAAATGGTTTTATAACAATACAATTTGATTATTCATTGAAATTAATTTGTGCACATTGTATTATGATTTATTTGTAACTTTTAACCCTTTGAGTGCCAACGTCCGGGGAACCGGACGTTTTTAAAACGAGCCAAAAGTGCCGACGTCCGGCCGACCGGACGTTTTTAGAACGAGCCAAAAGTGCCAACGTCCGGCTGACCGGACGTTTCGTAATGATCGAACAGTTGTCATAACAACCGAATGGATACTCGGATTCTTTTAACCCATATATTAACATTGAGTCGAAAGTTACTAGATGCGATACATCGATTTTCGTTGGTCGAAATATCGAAAATTCGATTTTTACGAAATTTTAACCTAAAAATCGCCAGATCGCGCTCGGCATTTTTAGCGCGACCTTCGGGAAAAATCATCGGCATTTTTTTAGCGTTACTTTTATTTCTCGCCTGGCACTCTAAGGGTTAACAGTTGAAATTTAAAATATTAAAGGTTTCTTAAGATTTAAATATAGATGGAATTAGATTTAAAATTCTTAGATTTTACCACGAACACTACAAAAGACCCGGTGTGGATCATAAACATAAACAAATGATGTTTTTAATTAAACAAAACGATATGTTAATTAATGCTATTAGTATAGGGGTTTTGTTTACTTTCGGGCCAAAAACGTCATTTGTTTATGTTTATGACTACATAGGTATGCTATTCCCGTTATATGCTGACGTCACCCAGATTGAAAACACCATTTCACCATTAAAAAAATAATAAAAACAATAACAATCAAATCAAAACAAATATAATTGTATGGTAATACAATCAGGTGATCATTTGTTTGCAATCTGGGTGACGTCAGCATATGACGGGAATAGCACACCTATATATTTTCCTTCCACCATGATCCATTCCGGTTTTTTTCTAGTATTTGTGGATTTTACCTATTTGTATATTGAAAACTAAATTATATATTTACAATGGGTTGAGATTAATAGTTTAAGAAGAGATTAAAATTAATTATTACTTTAAACCTTAATTACTGGCAAAAACAAAATCTCAATATGTGTACATTTTAATTCTTACATTTTTTGTACCCACCAATTTTTCTACATAGCCTACTTTTTCAATTTGAAGGCAGTTTGTTAACAGGATATTTGTGTTTTCTTTACCCACCTAACTAAAACTTTAAACATACATAATTTTCTATTGATGTTTACATGGTAAAAAAGTATACTCTGTTATCTAAGTCACATATAGCAGCCTATCAAGGCCCACCTTCGAAGCCAACATTTCGCTTATAAAATAAAACTTTGTTGGAATATCAAGCTTTCATTTATTTGCACTCTAGATACATTTTCATTTCATTAAATTAAGTCTTGTACCTTTAGTTGTATTTGAAATAATTTTCAGTTTCCAACAGGGCATATTTAAACGTCACATTTTCATATTGATGAAAAAATAAGTCAGCCTTTGTGATGTAGATTTAGCTCTCTATGTGTTGTATTGTCTTTAACCTAATTTAGTATTTTTGGATTTTCTCTAACCGATGAATTTCTAGCAGCGATATTCAACTAGGGGTAAATTTGATTTGTGTGATACACATTGTATTTTATTTGTAGGATCACCATATTGTATTTTCTTTTGTAAAATAAATTTACATCAATTAAGTCTTATTTTTTTAATATGTCCCTTATGAAACATCTATATATATAAAAGGCAAAGCCCTCACTGACTGACTGACTGACTGACTGACTGACTGACTCACTCACTCACTCATCACTAATTCTCCCACTTCCCATTTACCTAGGGGGCTGAAATTTGGTACACTGATTCTTTAGGCATTAAATAGAAAAACTGAGTGGTTTTTATTCTGATCGGACTCTCGGGCTCCGCCCCAGTGGCTCTGGAGTTTCCCATGTTAGCCTAATGAGTACTCATATTTAAATGGAATTAATGAATCATAACAGCTGTTTCAATTAAACAAGTTGGTTCTGTTCTGTGATGTTCAAGAGCATTAAAGTTACAAGAATTACCAACAGAGTGCAGCACTATTATTTTTTTTAATTTATGACAACAGCTAATTTGCAACCAAAAGGTGAGTAAGCGTAGCGAACGAACTTCAACCTGGAGGCGAGTTAGCGTAGCGAACAAGCTAACCTGAAGGCAAGTGAGCGCAGCGAACGAGCTCCAACCTAAAGGTGAGTGAGCGTAGCGAACGAACTTCAACCAGGACGTGTGAGCGCAGCGAACGAGCTCCAACCTAAAGGTGAGTGAGCGTAGCGAACGAACTTCAACCAGGACGTGATTGAGCCATGCGAACGATGATATGCGAACATATGAAGTTAAACGGGGCAAAGCCCGCGGGTACAGCTAGTTCCTTATAAAACATAATATGTATGTCTAATTACAACAGTGTTATTTGCACAAAATGTTCTTTTGTTTCGCATAACCACTGTTGGGAATAGAATGTGCAATTTGTGTGCAATGTGACTTTTTAGCTAATTTCCCATACAGTGAATAAGATATGGCCAAAGTTAAAGTGATGGAATAAGTTTTTCACCCACAACTTATGTATTTGCATTTTTCATGATTGATTTGTAGCAAACGGATTGATGTTTAAATTAATAATTACAACTTACGTCAATCAATCCAGTAATGTTTATGGAGGACACACGTTTCGACCTTTAGGTCATCATCTTGAGTGCCGCCGCAGTCCCGAGCCCGTTCAGCCGTGCGCACAGTGATAGTTTTATTTAAATGTTTTCGTCTTCGTCAGTGTCGTGTTTTTATGTTTACGTGGTCTGACTATGTTTCACAATGTAAATTATTTGACGCGGTTGCTACACCAACAATGCAACTAAGTATGTAATAACCTAGTGCAACAGCGGAGCAGAAGATGACCTAAAGGTCGAAACGTGCGTCCTCCATAAACATTATTTGCATTTTGCAAATTTATCTCCCTATAAGGACATTTGAAATCCTCATAAAATGAAGAAAACACTGGCTATTTTCAACCATACAATTTTATTGAGTGCAAACCTAAAAGTTTTTCAATTTTTTTATAATAATCTTTAAAAAATGTTAACCTTCCAAATTTGTTGAACATTTTTTACAGGCTTATGTTTTATGATATTGAAGCATATGATTTTCCAAACAAAATTATATGTAAAACAATTGTCTTAAGTTTCTCAGTCAGGTACATTTTAGTAAAAATTGTGAATACAAACCTTTTTTGTATTCATTGATAAACATAAAACCAATTCTCCTTAGTCTGATAAAACCCTGCAAGTGCAATACATAAACAATAGGCCAACGTCAAGAACTAGCACAGAAAACACACTACTATTATTATGTTTAGTAGTATGTTTTGTGTGACCATTGACACTTGGAGGGATATATGTATGTGTGTAAGTTTAAACAAGCAAAAGTTATAAAATTTTGGTGAAATTTGGTTCAAACATGTAAACATATGTTTATTCGAACGAGTTCGGGAACATTGGACTATGGGTACGGGATTTATTTTTGACCCTATAAAGGAAAATTTCTTTCAAAACAATTCTGTAGAGCTTAAAACATTTAAAATAATTTATTAAATTGAAACATTGCTTGATAGTTATAGAGAACATTTAAAAAAATTTAAATTCCCATATTTTTATGAAGAGTAAGTAAATTGTAGTGTTGCTTGTTTATGGACTTTATTTTTATCAGATTTGGAAAATTATCAATTCCATTTCTCTAATACACTTTAATACTTTTCCTGTAGCAGCAACCTTAGATATAGGCCTACTCAATAAACTATAATATTGTAATAGGTATTAAAATATGACAATTTTTAAGGAGATATTTTTGTGAAAATCTAATCTGGCAAATAGAAATTTTTCTGGAGTTTTGCTAGAAGGTATTTGATTTTGAACATTGAACTTAACAATTTGTTTTGAAGTGCCGTTTTGCCAACATTCTTATGGATAAGGAAACAGCTGATCTCATTGTCAACGAGGCTATATCTCGCTTCACTGTAAGGAAATAATACTTTATTCATATCTGGGTTAAAGCTCAATCTTTACAACTACATTATCCAATAGCTACAAGTACTAGTACACTCAGTCACATCCATCTTTATTAGAATATACAGTATAGTAGTAATAATAATAGAATGAATCATGAATCAACAGATGTTGATGTTGATGAAAAAATGTTATCAATACAGCTCTAAGAAATCTTTAACAAGTGTTAAGGGTTACAATCACTACATCTTTGGACACACTAATATGTTTATTCATACATTTATTTTAAACTTAACAAACCAAATTATGCACTGTATATATATATATGTTTCCTTTCTATGCAGTATGAAACCATTTTTCACATTAGATACTGTAAGATTATGCACTATGACATGCAGCCTGAAATCAATGTGTCGGCATTGACCTGAACAGCTGCATTTTGTGTGCAGCAAAGCCGGCCAATTTTGGGGGAAAAAACATAACAAAACCAATGAACGTAACCTAAATATTATTCTAGCCACTTTTCAGTCACGTCATAACATAACCTAAATTAGCGAGCGGGTGTTAATTTAATTTATTTATACGAGTTTCCAGTTCACTTTCACTATTTTAGGGTGTGGGCTAAAAGTTCTATAACTTAACCCGTGATAAGATACATATCTGTCAATTATTGTCATTGTCAATGTTTTGTAGGCTTTCTTAAAAAAATAATATTAGGTTAAATATTTATTGCAAAATGGCTGTAAGAGCAGCAGGATTTGTAATTTTTCGCAGAAACCCAGATATAGAATATTTACTAATGCAAACTTCTTATGGGAAACATCATTGGACTCCACCGAAAGGTAAACACGACTAAGTTTTTTGATAATGAGTTGTTACTGTTGTAAGATTTAAAATATCCCTTGTCTGCTCAAGTCATAGGAGTTAATCCTCCCACTAGGCTAACCGGAACCCATAAAAATGTTAACTTTGTCATAGGGTCTAAGTTAAGTTAGGCTTGGAATGAGCATCGATGATGTTTTCGATATATCGATGTTCGATGTTTTTTAAGTTACATCGATAGTAGGCTAGGTTAAGTTACCAATGTATTTGTTTGGCTAACTTTGGAAGCATTAGCGCACAGGTTCTTTTCTAAGCTGCCTAGGCCTATATCAATGTTTTTTTACGAACATGGATGTTTTTGGCCAATGTACCGTACCGGTAGGCCTAGGCCTATTGAAATATCAATGTTCTCCATTTCAATTGAAAAGACCTAGTTCAACTTTCCACAATAATGTAACTCACTAACTTAAATAGTAAAGAAACTGATGACTAATCTATTTAATAACAAGTATAAAGAACTTTAGAGGCTTAATAACAATTTTAAGTGGCAAATTTAAGGGAGGAGAAATTCTCTTGTCACCTAAGTATTCCAACAATCCCTACAGATGTGCCCTTTGAATTCAAACGTTTACAGTTTCCTGTGCGACTCACATTTGTAATACCGGTACTGTTAACTATAAACAAATCTCAAGGGCAATCACTGCAAGTGTGTGGATGTGACTTTAAAAAAACCATGATTCTCGCATGGACAACTTTATGTGACATGCTCTCTCGTTGGAAAATCAATAATCTAGCCTAGGCCTCTTTGTTTACGCACCAAACTGAAAAACAAAAAAATATTGTTTACAAAAAAGCCCTTCATCAATTGTTTACTGTATAAGTTAGTGACGTTTTACTGTTCTAATTGTAAAACATAAGTTAATAGCCTAAATAATATTAAAAGTAACATAAAATGGATTGCTCTGAAATATAAAAGACCTTCCAGAGATTCAATATTGAATGGTTAACTTTCTTAAAATTGCAGCAACGGTTGATGGGTAAGCTAGTTTTATTTTCTCTCGACATATTTTATTTTATTCATTCCAACCGTCAAACCATTTTTCTTTAGAATTTTTTATGAAATCTAAATTTGTGCTCTACAATAAAAAGTTATTGAAAGTACCACCTACCTATATAAAAATGTGTGTAATAAAACTTTTTTCCACCCCAGTGGCATTTTTAGTTAAAGTCGGAAGAGATCAAACGCTTAATCAAGCGGTCAAATCCATTTAGGTTTTGTGGATGTGGCGGTAATTGGACCCGTCCCTCCTGCACCGAAGTCCAAGATGCTAACAACTTGGCTAGCAACACATCCACTTGGAACATATACCGGTATTTTCACTTAATACTATTGACTCACAAGTGGTAAATACATATAATGTAGGCCTAAGGATGGTAAGTGATGATCGATTTTGATTGGACACGTCAATCATTATCAAACCCAATGGTCACATATGGTTCAAGTGTTATTAGATGTATTTTTATGTATTTCCAGTAAATGACTAATAACATGGGCAATGCTGATTGCTGACTTAGGAGTTATTCATAACATCATATCTGGTGTTTCCCCTACCTGTAGGTTGATAGCCCAGTAAGTTACCTTTTATTGAGGCCTGGAAACCGATTAGGTTTAACTTTACTCTTTTTTTTGTTACTAGGGCAAGGATGACATTTCAGCAGAACTTTGATATTTGATTCAATAGATATAGAAGTACATGGTTTTTGGTTCTAGTCTAGGCTAAATTTGGTTAGGCTATTGATCAATCAATACTTTTATGCTTGTTAGTATGGAGTTGGATATAAAAGCTTTTGCCATAAGTCCCCCCCCCCCCTTTAAGCTGAATTCTTAAAGTAGATTATTGGTAATACATTAATAAGTATTGTAGTGTTATGACGCATAAATGATTTAAATTAAACACTCATGCGTCACATTTTCTTCCAGGACATGTAGACCCAGGAGAGACAGACTTTACGACTGCACTAAGAGAAACAGAAGAGGAAGCTGGCTTATCAGAAAAGGATTTAAAAGTATTTAAACAATTTGAAAGAACTTTGAATGTAAGTTGTACCCTGGTTTTATATATGCTGTGGTATTGCGTTTTTGGTACTTCAACTATTTGACGGAACATATTATGTGTCTCCAACACTTTTTATTTCATTTTCACTTTAATTATCAGTATCAAAATGAGATGGGGACGCCACCTAGGTGCATATTGCGTATTTTAACCCAAATACGAGTAAAGGATTAGTGTAGATTGTTGGGAGATGATCTGTGTAGCTCTGTTACTGACTAAGATCAGCTATTTCACCAGTCAGGATCATGTATTTAGAGCCTAACGATCAGGGACAGCTGGGTCCAGTTTCAAACCACCAAAAAGCTACTGACTTTACTAAGGATCGAATCGTAGACCTTCTAATAGTTACTTGGGGCCACTGTGCTACCCTTAAAAAATCTGGAATTTAGAAAATAGTATACAACCCCGAGTCAATTACTTCACACATGTAGCCATTATTAAAATTTAATTAAGACTATATTACTATACTAACAGCCTCCAGTAGGAAGATCTCCCTGGTTTTTTTTTTAAATTTATGCATAAACCGTTTGAGCTCAACAGCAAGACTTGCTTGTTTCGTCACCATGTCTGCCGCGGGTAATGACACCCAGTGCGTGAGGGTGCTAATGCTTGCAGCTAGCTTTGGGAAAATACAACTGTGATCTTAAAGGTAAAATGAAAACAAAAGTTAAATATAAAAAAAATATTCTTAGTTTCTGTAAACTGTTAACAAGTGAAAGGGTTCCTGATACCGCAGACGTTTCCAGATTCAAGTTTTGTCCTGCCATGACGGTTGAACCGCATCAGAAGAAGATTTTTTTGTTACCCTTAGCTGCTTCATCTTCATTGCTAAAAAAGTTTGTGACACACACTATCACTCTTGCAATGAAGAAGGTCTTAAAAAAAACCAAGCACCCCTAGAAAGCCATTCAACATACAATCTGATTTTGGTACGTGATTTTGCAAAAAAGAGTTCCAGCCATTCATGAAACGATTGGGATAACTCACTACAGTACGTTCTCACATTTGAATGTGTCTATTATGTAACGGTTTAACCGAACGATTAAAGGGTGGATGTGGAGAAGGTACCTATGAACCAAGTAAGGCTATGCTACCAGAGCTCGTTGACAAATACAACCCCCGTTTACATAGGACAATAAATTGTGACCAAATGACGTTTTTAGAAAACCCAAAACAGGAACTTATGTTGGTTCTCACCACGTGTGACAACACCAAAAAGCCCAAATCTGCACTCAACGATGTAGTGAGAATATCAAAGTATAAAACTCTTTTTGAATACTACCTTCAAAGTAGTACGGAATTTTTGTGGCTGACCGTGTGCCACACACCTTGCCTGTGCACAACTTGCTAGATGAACATGGGGACATTGTGAAAGGTGCTTTTTACGAGTCTAAAATGTAAAAACTATTCTGTCATTTGTCTGGTAGAAAAAGTGATCAAAGAAAAAAAAATTTTATCTAGTCAAGTGATGGGGACTAAAGAAAAAGGTAGATGGATTCCAGTCACCTTGTGTGAGACCGTGTTGCGACACTTCATCCGGATAAGTTTTTGCCACTAGCTCTATCGATAGGACAAGCGACAAGATGAACAAGGTCACATGAATCTTGGATATAAAAAAACTACGCTTTGTAGCTGAGCTGGATTTTACACAATAAGATACAAAAAAAAAAAACATTCAGTTGACTCAACTTGAGACCTCTAAAGTCCTGATACTGGAGCTCAGATGTGCCTTTGCAGTTTTAGAAAGCCGCTTTTAAAAGGTTGAGGCATGGTCAAGAGTGGTAAGTTGACCTTTCAATTGCTTTATTAGCACCCAATAGCCAGTGTCGGTACCGTACTGCCTGTGCAACCGAACAGGTGAGTACCTGGGCCTTGCTCACACTTTGCCATTAGCATCTGCAATATTTACGCTGAAAATTTGCTTGTGTGTGTGTGTCTGTAGCCAAGAATCACTTTACTATTTTGATTTAGGAATACAGTGAAGTTTTTTTGTTGTAGTTGTAACAACAGTTAAAACTTCAAAATTGCAGTTACAATTCACTGTTACATTTTGTACACATTTTACTGTTACAGTAGACCCCCTCTTAACTGACCTCGTATTAACCGATAATCGGATTATCCGCCTTGTTTTACCCGACCTTACTTTGAGAGCAGTTCGGTTTAACCGCCACTTTCTTGGAATCTCGGCATTTCCGCTCCCACGCTGGGCGATGAGAACTGAACCATGCGCTTATCTCCACAGGATATGACTAAGAATAAATTATTTTGTATTGGTCACAAAAAATATAGCATAGCCTATTGTCAGTTTGTCATCATCGTACGTAGCCCGAGCACATCTGATCTGATTTGTTATCTGTGCGGAAAATTTATAACATCATAAAGTGCGTTACGATTTTGAGAACTGATTATCTTGTCAACGCAACTTGTAGGGAGGGAAGGGAAGGGGGTTAACAACTCCAAGATCAAGATAGTTTTGTGCCTGGAGCCTCCAGTGAGAGGCTATAAATAAACATCCTGTCTTGTAACAAAATGGTTGCTTGTATCTTTAATTTCGACAAAAGGTTCTGTACTGTACTACGATGGATTTTTAAAGCATCACTTAATACATTACAGTACTAAAGTTTTTAAAATAGGAATTTTTATTGACTCTTGCCTAGTATTATAATATATTCCACTGAAAGTAGGCCTATTTGACATAACCGTGTTTTGTGTTTATTTGTGACTTTTCTATCAATACAAAAAAGGAGATAAGAGTACTTTATTTTATAAATAATGCAAGTATGACTTCAAAATAATGATTATATAATTACAAATGAATAGCACTTCATTATTTTATGATTTTAGGGATTGCCCGTTTTAACCGACCTTTTGAGTTATCCGACCTAGGTCCGGTCCCATTTGGGTCGGTTAAGAGGGGGCCTACTGTATGCGTATGGTTTAATACTAATACTTCCTAGCTGTGATGCAACTCAGCACCAATTCATCGTATTGCATATTGTGTTTTCTGTTACGTCCCATTGCTTTTGTACATTTCATGGCGTTTGACATTTATTGTTTTATCTTGTAACAATACAAACTCTTAGTAGCTGTGGTCTCTTACTCGACCTTTGTATTTGTTCCTTCACACTTGTAAGCTTGGAGGTATATTTCAACATTACAGCTACAATGTTTTATAAATGTTTATGTTTGTGAACAGTAACTTCACAATATTTGATCTTTTATAATTTGAGAATGTTTTCGTGCTGTTCTTGCTTGTTTTTACAAATTCAATATATAGTATCATTCGATTGTCTGGAATGTTGTGATCACTGTATTATACTAAACAAGTGATCATCCAACAACATTTTAAATCTTACATATTTTAGTTTGCCACGTATTGCTTCATTTTTCCTTTTACAGAATACAATACCTATGTCTCTACAACAAGTTAAACACTTTAGAGAAGAGAGCATATCTCCCACGTGTCCAGAATGAGGAGTGAAGAGGGTTACCATGGAACATCAATCGTGCTCGAGATCAATGTCCAGGAAAAGGACGGCGATTACAGCACTTTTCTACCAAAGCGATTTGCCGAGGCGCTGACAGCTGAGGAACTGGAGATCTCCTGTTAGAATGGAAGACGATACTTAGGGTTGAGTCTATCAATGTGCGAATATGAAAGGAGTAATGAATAAAGCATGATCATGGAGAACATTTTGTTGTTTCTAACCGAGTTTATTGTTTATGTGTAAGGCTATAATAGAACTAAGCGGTTCAGGGATCTGATGTGTATGCACACAGAGTTATTATACAGCTATTATGGTTTATTTAGCACTATTACTGGTTTTGTGTTTAATACATAGCAGAGTCGCGCTGTTGAGCTAGATTGGTTTATGCATAAATTAAAAATCAGACAAATCTATCACTGAAATCTGTATCTAAATACTGTATCTTTAATTTATAAAGACTCTTTAATAGTATCTGTTAAAACAATGACCATTGTCAAATTGTCATTTTTTCTATAGTTAATGTTTGTTGAAATTAAAATGAAGGCGGTGATACACTTTTAGTTGTATTTTAACAGCACAATTTGCCAAAATAATCATTTTTATTGTATCTTCTGCTAAGAGAATTAGTGGGAGTAAATCATATGTTTTTGTCTTATTATCACCGATGCATACGTCTTTTTGTTACAATATCTCTTTTCACTTAGTATTTTATTGTCGGGACCACGTAAGTTTGCAGTTGGTGGCAGCCAATCACAAGACGAGGCTAGTGCGACGTTGCCACATCACCCATTGACAACACTAATAAAAATATACAAAGCTATATTTTTAAATCAGCTGGTATTGTTAGATTTGGCAACACCGCACCGTTCTCATTGGTTCATTGAAAACCATATGGTAAATAGGCTCCTCCCTCAACTGCAAACTTATGTGGTCCCGACAATAGACACCTATTGAATAATAAAAATATCAGTAGGATTATTCTGTTTTCAGTACAATGTGAACAATAAACCAAAAATTGTCATCTATTGGCTGGCTGAGCTTGTTGACAAAGACAAAGAAATTAAAATGTCAAAGGAGCATCAAGACTTCAAGTGGCTGCCTCTGGAAAAAGCTTGCGAGTTGTCTGGTTTCAAGGACTTTGCCGATCTTCTGAAAGAATGTCAGGAGTTCATTTGTAAAAGCCTGTGATTTATTAGTAATAATTTTTTCCATACCCTTAAACGTTAAATAAACTTATTCTTATATACCCATTTCCAGCTTTTGAATCTTATTAACCAACCTAAAGTAAAAAGAACATTTCTACACGGAGTACAAGTTTGAAAGCTAGTGTTTTTGTGCCTAAGTTTTGTTACCTATTTTATGTACTAAAACCAACTTTCTAATTAAATGCTCAACCTTTACTTTAACACATTCACTGTGTACCAACAACGGCAAAGTCGAGCGAACCAGTTTGGCTTTCAAATATTTCGGACTGACAAATAGCAAATGATGTTTAGCTTTAAGACGAAAGTCGACGTAGTTTGCTTAAATACTCACAGATAGCAGCACCGTCTGGAACTAGCCGGTCTCATTGTATTGCCAATTGGAAGTAGCAAGACGGGACAAGTTGATTAATGATTTCTAAGCTTGTCAGTGATTTTACAGGGAAACGTACCAACCTATACCACAATAAAGCACCCTTTCCTAGCTAAACGCAGACTTAAAAATGCCCGTTCCTCCCGGTGTGCTGCTGCGGAGAAATTGAATGGAATGTAGGCAATGTCACCACTCACAGGCGAGCGCTCAGGGTGGCAGAAACGAACTAGAGCACACACCGAGTGACCCGCAGCGAATGTTTTAAACCTATGAAATTTAAGATTTAAAAATTACACATTTAAAACACACAACACAATTTGAACATTTTATTTATTTTGTAGGAGGTGACAAAGCTGGGAAATTTTACGTGATGAAGCCATTGTTGTTAAACATGTAGTTTAACTTAAATTTTCTACACGTGTCGTAAAGCCTGTTTTGACCTAGAGGACTGTGGTTGAGAAAAGACAAACAGTTCTGCTGCCCTCTGCTGAACTTGGAAGATACTAGCCAGCACTTGACTTTGCTTTTGCATGCTGCGTTTACCACAGTTTATCGACCCCTCACTCACACTTGTACCCTTGACCTCTTAGTACCACTGGTAACAGAGATCTGTGACTGAGTGGACATTTCGTATTGCTTCATCTTATATTTTAATAATTCAGTAAACAAGATTTTTTCTTTGTTGCCAATTCTTTAATTTGTGATTACTCCAAAACAAAAAATGTTTTTTCCTACAGTCACCCGACAAAGTTGGCTTCCTTGTACTGTTTATAGTACAGAAAGATGCTAATTGCTGCATATTTATACTTTGCCGTACGGTTTATACTTTGTCGTACGGTTTATACTTTGGCACACATCAGGATCCCAACGAAACAACACAAACAGTGTGGTTCTATTATGCACGTAATCCGTGTACGCTTGGAAATAGGTTGGCAACACTTAAAGATAATAATACTATGAGCAGCTGATTGACTATTATAACTACGATTTAACCTGTCATTTTGTGTTTATAGTTTCGGTATTTCTGAACTTTCTGGACTTTCTTTTAAACGTTTTTAAAACATTCCTACGATCTTAATAAACAAGAAAATACCTTTAAAGCATTTTTTTTAGGTGCAGAAACCACTTCTAATTACAAAAACATACGAAATTACCACTCCCACACTTAATTGTTGAATTAGGAACTATATTCTCAAGTCGCGGAGCACATTTCTTGCCAAGGAAAAATAGCGGAGTGATACGGGCCGGAGACTACTTTCTCTAGGGCACCTATTTGTGTTGCCAGCTGAACCTAAAAACGTGTTGTATAGTGTTTGAAAGACTAATTATTTATATGCTTTATAGTGACTGTAGGAAAAATATAATGTGTAACACGAGTGCAAAAGGCCTTTGCTGCACTCGAAATCATTCCGCACGAGCCTATTGCTCTTGTGTGCAGCAAAGTGCCACTTTGCCCACTACTTACACAAATAACTATTGAGTTTCACAGACTGTTATGTAATCAGGGAATTGATGAATCAGTACTTCTACTTAAGCTTGTAGCCCAGCAACCAAATACATCACTAACAATCACCAGTCAAACCAATGGACTGGTATTCCAAGAATATTTCCAAGGAAAACAAAAACAAAAATTAGTGCCCAATAAACTTTTTACTAATCAACAAAAATCTTACGACATGTACATATATACAATTCAAATTTTACTATAAAGCAGTTTTTTTGACAACTTTATGATGGCACCAAATCCAACACCTATAATTTTTTGGAATAAAGTATTGTGTTTTCACTGGTTCTGGTTTACAATTAATCGGAAAAAATACTTAAATCACAAACATGCATAGCTCATACCACCCTATTTAACATCCCTAAACGGATTATAAGTTTAAGAATACTGTTCCATTTACAGCTAAAATAAAATTCATGCTATTTAAAATCAGTTTAATCAACAATACAATAAATATGAGTAAATGTGTATAACATAGTAAACTTGTAAAACACACTTCCTAAAAATTAAAATATAGTTTTTTTGGCAACTAGTAAATAGCTTTCGTCTATTGGTGGTTTCTTGGCAGTTTAATTGATGTAAAATTACTAAACAAACTGGAAACTAGGATAAAATTTACTAAAAACTTAAATAACCTAAAAGTGCAGGAAGACTCAAAAGGGGAAACTAATAAAAGGCTGAATATATTCAGGGCGAATAACACTAGTCAAACTATCCCATGCTTAATCTTTTTTCCATTTAGACTTTTCACCAACGGATCAATATAATTTATAATTTTAACTAAAAATCTCAAAATTGTTAGGCATGGACTATCTGGATTCTATTCTGAGTAAAGCAAAGGAATGTGGAGAAAGTTCTCGTAGGCAATCTAATCGGTAAACTTTCTGTTGGTGTTCTTGCCGAAGAGTGCGTTACGTATCTGAGGCACCAACTGTTGTGCTATGAGGTCCAACCTGGCTTCCAGAGTGTTGGAGATCTTTATCTTGCCTCGTTGAGCGAGCAATTCAACACCTCCACAGCTATCTTGCGGCAGAAAACTCTCCGAGTCCACCTTCAGGTTGATCTCCTGGCCAGAAACCTATAGAACGGTAAAAACTTAGTAGACTAGAAATCGTGGGATCATCCTTAATTGTTTCTAAAATATAAAAAAGTTGAGTCAGAATGTGTTTACAGCCTAACATTTTAAATAAAGGGTATCAATCAACATACTGATATATAATCCTCCTATTTGCTTAATTATATTGGTAAACCGAGGGAGTAACTATGAATTGTTTTGGCGAAATCACAAAAATGTTAATAATTTTAGAACTCTAACTGTTACGGCATTGGGGGTTATACCGTTGTTTTGAGGGTCTAAAGGACTATAACCTACTAAATGTTTACCAAAATTATAATAGCTGTTTTTGTAGAAATCTTTTTTCCCTATTATTATATGGGTAGATAACTAAAAATTTTTTTAATGAAGAAATGCGCCTGGAGATAGGCTACCATAGATTAGTACGCACACACCAAATGTCATCAAAATCTAACCATAGGTGTTGACGAGAACAATACAAACGTATTTGTTTGCCAACCAAACAAATAGGCTATTACTAGTTTTTACCTTGCTGAATTCCTCAGCTATGGCAGGGACGATGCTCTCAGCCAATGGAATATCAGCTTCACGCACTCGCAGGAGCACATTTGGTTCCAACAGCTAGAAAACATCAAAATCATCATTTAATTTACAACATTTGTTTAATTTACACGGTAAACTTTTGTCAGTTTTCTACTGTTACTAAGTTTGACCCTGAAACTACAGGTAGTGTTCAAAATGGTTGAGACATTGATGATTCCAATATTGAACAAACTCCTATACAAAGCATGAGCCGGGATGGTCTCTCTTGATTTTTTTTATCTAATATTAAAATAAGATTCAATATTTAACAGTTATAGTTTCTTAAGAACAATGGACCATTGTGCTCTACGTTACATGCTTAATATAAGTTAAATGTGTTGCCTTATTGGCCAGCCAAAGAAAGTTTAAAGTGTCGAGTTATAAATAGGCCCTACTTCTGAGAATAGTTGATTTATTTACAATCCCGAATAGGCCTATCCTTTGCCACTACAACCAAAGAATTGTTAAACAGTTGCAACATGTATTAAATTGATTTAATTACTAACTTACGACATTGTAGAAGTTTGTATGCCATACTAGTCATTACAAAGGACTACACACAACCTAGCCAGAGTTGTTAAAGGAGAAAATGGATTTTAGACTCTAGAACACTATAAAGTAGGTTCATCAATGTTATTTTTTAAATATAAATGTTCTACAGTTGTTCCTTGTAGATGAGTTGTCTACAATAAGTAACCCACAATCAATCATCATAGGTAGGGGTTGAAACCGAACATCCGACACAGAATTCTCTTGCTCTAACCAATAAGCTACGTCCCTGCTCCATTAAAGAGCCAGTTGCAATCATAAATGGCTTGACAGAAAATTTACAAACCTGTAGCAGTCCTTGAACGGTCAAGGCCTTAAGGACCTCTGAGTATTTTGCTGTGTTGCGGCTAAACTCAGACAGCCTCTTGCGAGCTTCATCCAACACGGTACGAACATGATCCTCTCTCACTTTCAACACCTTCAGTCGAGCTTGGTTCAGCATGTTCGATGACTGACTGTAAGCCAAATGCATATTTGTGGATAAAAAAAGATCTATTAGCACTGAAGCACTGTTTTTGTTATCTAGTTAAAATGCATTTCAGCACTAAAAATTAGAATAGGCCTACGGTTAATCTATTAATATTTAATTAAAATTCTAGGCCTACAATACATTAAATTTAAGAAGTGACTAGAACAGATGAACAGTACAACTAAAACAACTGAAAATTTGAGTGACGAGGACTATTAAGTAGTTCTAATCTATTCTATTGTAGTCAATTGCATCAATCCTGGAAACAAAAAACTAATGAATGATTAATCAATTATCATTATTTATTGATGCTGATATATTTTTGCCAAACCAACTACTACATTTGTCCAATAGCAGCATTTTTAATGGTTTTGGTATCGCCAGTACTCAATTTAAAAAAAAATGATGTGCCGGAACTGTAACCAAGGCCCTATTTAATGTGATTTGTACCTATTTAGCCTACGCAAATAGTTTTATCTTTCCGAAAGAGATGAACC